GCCGCATTCGGGACGGGCTGGCAATAAACGACACGTGCATCTACGGGCAGTTTTCCTTCATCAAACCTACCGCCGTCAACATGGATGACCCCAAGACCCTCAGATGCAAACCGCGATAGCGACATTCTCCCTCGCAGTGGCGACGCAAAAGCACACGCGGAGAATTCGTTGGTAGTGCTCGCACGAGAAAGCCCATCAAGATGCCTAGTTGGTATACGAGTCCAGATTCCACGACATGGCTCCGTGAAACGCTTCCCCTCCTTGCAAATCCAGATTGGGTTCATGTCGTGATGGCAATGCCAGCCAGTCATCCCGCAAGATTTCCGCAGATTCGAAGGGTCCGTGTTCCGGTGACACAGCAGAATGTTTTACACTGCCGTTCCGACCCTCCACCCATACCTAAACGCCCCTGTCGCAACCCAGGCAGCCACAACCTCGTGGCACGCATGTCTCACAAAGGCAAAAGGAAGAAAACACCGCCGTCAATCAAAGTTTCCTGTCCTTCCTGGTGCGCTCGGGATGCTGCATCAGCTACATCCTGTAATCTGCCTAGGGCATTCTTCGCCTAGGCACTCCAGGCTAGCTGCACACAAGGTGTGTAACCGCTCGGGTCCATCCGGTATGAAGTACCGGGCCTTGGCTGGGCGGGTTGGCGGGTCGGCGGGCGCGTCGTTCTCGTCCGGTAATTGCGTCTTTCCGTCGGGTTATCGTTTCTTCTAGAAGGGTGTCATATTTGTCAATCCCGGAAGGCGCAAATGCGAGACATCGTCGCCTGCTGTCGGCGTCGCCTTCGGCACTGGGACTGATGGTGGCTGGCATTGGTGCGTGGTATTGATGGCAGCGTGCCGTAGAAGGGGAAGGGAAGGGAAAGAATGGAAGGAAGGGAAGCCGATGATACCTTCCATAGGCAGGCGCTTGCCGGACAACCAAGCCATGTCTGGGGTTCCCGATTCTTCTAACCCGCTCCCATAACAAACCGAGAAAGGAAGTCTCGTGCGAGCGGACGTCCCTTCAACTAACGCAGCAATGATCCTGTTCATGTCTCTTCTGACCCCTCGTCGACGTCCAAGCTTAGCCAACGAAATTCTGAGTCAGAACCTTGATATGCATCCCGCCCCTCCATGAGTCCATCCAACCCCTCCCTGTCTCAACGTTGTTGAACCCGACTTGTCCTCGCACAAAGCCTAGAATGCGTACCTCTAGGCACTCCCCAGTCCTTGCCTGCCTGGATTGGAGACATTGATGCTTTCACTGGTATGCCAGACATATTGGAGCCTGTACACGACACACAATATTGCAAACCACAACGTCAACACAACATTAACCATGAATCTGAACATCGTGATGCCCCTTAATACGACAAGCCTTGTGTCCGGACGGGAGCAACAGAAGGACAAGAACACAATGCAAATGCAGCATATGGGTAGGCGAAGTAACATACCTCATATTCCTCAAGGGATCGTTACATTCTGCCCGGGGCAATATCAGCTTCTGCCAGGCCCAAATTGTGTCGGGGGATGGACAAACTTTGCGTCGGAGAATGGAGAAGTAAAGAGATGCGAGGCAATGTAGCAATATAATCACTCATCGCGGGCAGAATGAAGATAAACCAACATAAAGTTTCCGGCTTGGCGCCGACATTTGAAGCGTCGTTAATTGCGATCCTCAACTGAACAGCAATCCTCAGGAACAGAGATAGAGAATGGTAATCTCGCTGCACCCGTGAAAAGTTCAGCACCCGGTGATGATAAAGAACCAACTACATGCCAAGAAAGGAGTGTGAGATACCAAGAATCTCGATCTTCAACCTTCATGTCGGCGTCAAACACTCGATGATCTTCATGTAAACCTGCAATGGCAATTGACGAATCGCATCCAACTGCACCCCTTACCGAATTGTGCAATCACATTCAGGCATCGGTACCTTATCTCACTCGCGAGCATGCTCATTCAGCTCAGCTCAGCTCAGGTACCAACCCAGTCAGGTACCGACTCACTTCGCCGACCTGGCGACCGCCCACGACCGAACCGAACCGAAGACATCTCACCGCCAGCCTCAGCAAGCCACAAACGTCGATCACTTTCCGATTGGTTGTGATGAGTTCACAACACCCTCGACGCCAGATTGTCGACAACTCGTCAACAAATGGAGGTCCGATGATAGGAGGAGGAAGGAGATGCCACTTTCACATGCATCGATCGTCCACCACACACAGGGCAGCGAAAAGGAAGAAGAAAAGGAAAAGGAAAAGGAAAAGGAAAAGGGGTGAAGATCAACAACGGGAAGAAAAAGCAACGAGAACTTCAGGTACCCGCCATGTCCGGTTGAGCCAGGCGCCTCTTTCGTCAGCGGCATATCTCTCATTCTTGACTTCAACTCTCGAGTTTCGTAGATACCTTAGAGAGTAGCAAAGTGTGAAAGATCTTCATGGACCAAGTCAAAATCCCACTCATATCATTCTAATCACACTCTCACTGCAGCCAACTCGTATCGGTCGGTCCAAGAACTATCTCATCACTCCAACCACCAGCTACCCACATCATCTTCCTAACATTACGTCTACACATATTATGAGCGTGATCGACAATGTAGTCTCTTATCTCATCACATAAACCTGCCCGGTCGGTCTTTTAGTTTCTCATGTCCATCTAGATATCCCTCGTATCGAACATGAACATGAACATACCTACTCGGCCAATTCCAGCCATGTACCCTGAGAAAAACTTGGCGACCGTAAAGCACTGTATACTTCCTTCCACTGATTCTGCAAAGTTCCGTTTCAATGAAGATCATGAGTGATCTGCTTCAGCTCATGCCTCGGTCTGACCAGCCCTGCAAGTCTCACTTGCTTACTTCTCTCAGTCTTAGCACCCTCTACCAGAAGAAGAAGAAGAAGAAGAAGCAGAATTATGAGTTTGGAGAGAAGCAAAACGGCCACTTGAACATGATGTCATGCATGGAAAATACAATGTCATTACCATGTGAAAACTTGAACTCTTTACCCAAGTTTGTCTTGTCGACCGACCTGGTTTGATGACTACCTACAACTGTACTTCTCATTATTACTCGTGTCGCCCTTTATGAGTTTATGGGGAAGTAGTGGTGGCTGGCTCCAGACCCGGTGGAGAAGAAGCGCTAAAATAAAAGCCCAACTTCCAGACCAGGATAACCATCAAAGCAAAGCAAAAACCCGCCCGCATGGCTCAGTGGTAGAGCGCATCACTAGTAATGATGAGGTCGTCAGTTCGATTCTGGCTGTGGGCATTTTTCAATGCCTAATGATCTTCCCTTTTTTGCTGTCCATCTGTGTGACGAACCGTTACAAGCACAGGAGTATATCGCTGGGATAGGTAGAACAACGGTAGTAAAAGCCGAAAGGTACTGATTGATTGTAGAAGCTATTGCTTGCTGAAGAGCCGGTATTCAAGAGGCCTGGGGAGGCCGTCTTATATACTGGCCTTCATGGACCCGTCAATCCGGACCCGTGGACCCGGCCTAAGGACCCGGGCCTTCGGGTCCTTCCTTCGGGTCCTACCTGATTGGTCCCGTTGGTTCTATCTGATCTAGCTTACATAAGGGATCCTTGATTGGATCGTAACAATCTGGTGATGCATGCCATGGAGTCGTGACTCTTTTTTTTTTTTTTTTTTGCTGTTAGTGAATCCACATTCGTAAGTAAGCTCATTCATTGTCCATGTAAACCGACAGACAGGAAAGATGTCACGATTAAAGAACGAAAGGTACCTCTAAAAATTGTGAACCAAAATCAGATAGATGCAGGACAGACGAGACCTGTCATGTTTTCTTAAACCGGACCGGACCCGTGAGCCTGGATCCGTTAGATAGACTGAATCTTGAAATGCTTGCGAATGTGACGGCGGAATAATTCCTCGACGAACAATCTCGCACACAACATTGGCGATGTCTCAGGTTGTGACTCTCGAACAACGAGCTTGGTGATTTCCACTACAAAACGGATGGTATTGATACCAGACGGATATTACCGTCCCCTTAGGCTCTGGCTGAATGTCATCTGGAGATGGGAAGTCAAAACGGAGCAAGGTGTCCATGTGCCTTTGGGTAAAAGTTGCTCTTGGGTTGATGGGAGGGATCATGGGTTCACGCAGGGCTGAAAAAGTTAAAAAGTCTAAAAGTCTAGACCATCCACCTCGAACTGCCCTGATGCCTGCCGGCAATAACATTAACCCATTTCAGCTCCCAGCAAAACATTGGCGGCTAACCATCGCGCGCGACGCTATTGAATCTATTTGGAATGTACGTAAGGTGGCAAAGGACGACTTGGCACGCACGGGTCGAACTATCGATTTTTAGGGGCGACCAAAAGAGGGCGCCGCAGACAAGCTGAAAGTTAGACTAAATGATGAATGTGTATCATATTTTCTCGCTTGGTTGAATGATTGAGTGCATCTTCACATTAGCCCATCTGAGTAGTGTCGTTCTGCACCACTAGTGACCTTGTCGCATGAACCGTGGCTCGCGTGACTTGGGGCCGGGCATCGTTCTGAACGAACAGGCCCTGAACCGAAGGCTCTGACTCTGAGCAGGCTCGGGACAAGCCCTCGATGTCTTGGAGAGGGCTTTTCTCTCTTGATTGAATGAATGATTGAGTGAATCTTTTTCACATCTAACATCATGCATGAGCCAGGGGATGCGGAGACGAGATTGAGGTATTAGGTAATTCGTTCATTAAGTCTTATGTATAGTAGGTAGGTATCGATATCCAATCCTGTGATCCATCATCTCGTCCTTCATGCATGTCAAATTTTGAGGGGGGGATCCAGATCCAGCCCTTGACCTCCTCCTCCATTGCTTCAGCAGACATTCCATCCATCAAGTCCATCAAAGTTCGTTCTCGTACATCCATTGTATCCCATTGATGTCCCCATGTCTTTCCGTGTGACCCGGGTGACCCTGTGACCCGTATCCAAAACCAAAAACCGATCTAGATGTCACCGACATCCAGTTGTAGGTATCCAAAAGTTATTCCCAAACTGAGCCTTCTAACGACCTTTGCAAAGGTCCGGCCCAAAAAGAAGTGAAAAAAACCCATCCCCATTCCATTCCTACCTATCCTGCTTGGGCCCGGAAGCAGCCTACCACTTCCAAGAAGCAAAGATAAAGTAATGGCTGATGTACAAGTTATACGTCGACAAAATGATCAACGGCAGCGTGTTGTACCACTCCATATGGTGAAACCCGACCCGGTAAATCACCGCAGCGGTCATACCACCAACATTGCAAATGGTCCAGAAGGTGCACAGCATGCGCATATGGAGATACTTGTTGCTCTTATGGGCCTTCTTGTCTCCGGACGCAGCCCAGAGGAGCTCGATGCCGAAGAGACGGTCCTTGATGGCGGTCAGGTAGGCGTACGACTGCACGACCATGATGTGCTGGACGTTGAAGCCGTACTTGGCCTTGGCCCAAAACCTAAAAAGGACGGCGCCGTAGATGATGGAGGGGATGGCGAAGGCGAGGTTGTAGTACTTGAAGTACTTGGGGCGGAAGGCGAGGAGGAGGGTACCGGGGATGGGGGAGATGAAGATGCCGAGGGAGACGGCGGAGTAGTAGAGGAGACCTGCAGTAGACGGTTTGGGTTAGCCAACTGTGGTTGGTTGGGAAGGGGGCTAAGGCAGGGCAGGGGTACGTACCACAGAGATAGCACAACTTCTGCATAAAGTTCAACTTGGAAGTCCAGAAGTGCTTGGTGGTCAAGAGAGTGGTGGAACCGCGAGCCCAGCGCATCTGCTGCGAGAAGAAGGAGCGCGGAGTGTTGGGGCAGATACCGGTAGCCAAGCAGAGCGGGACGTACTTGACCTTCCAGCCGCGATCGACAGCGCCAAATCTGTTTTACTGGTGGTTAGCGAGCAGTTCCATGCAGGGGTGAGGCACGGGGGAAGGGTTTGAGAGACTCGAGAGGTCACACACCCGCCGCGCCGTATACGGGATACGGGGTGCATGTCTCACTCGAGGTCTGCCCAACCCTTTGATGAAAAAGAAACTTACCCAGTATGCACATCCTCAGAGAAACCAATTTCAGCAGTACCGCCGACTTCCTCCAACGCGGCGCGCCTGTACACGGCATTACTGCCGACGCAAATCGAGGCACCCCACTTGTTTCTGTTGACCTGAACGACACGGTAGAAAAGCTCCTGGGTAGCTCCAGCGCCCTGCTCAACCCAAGTCTGGTCATCAGTGACCCTGAAGTACTGCGGGCTTTGAACGATAGCGGTCTTGTCATCGGCCATGTGCTCAACGACGAGCTCCCTGAGGAAGTCCGGACGAGGGCAGAAATCAGCGTCGAAGATGGCGAAGTAGTCACCCTGAGTGCGAGAGAAAGCCCAGCGGAGGTTGCCAGCCTTGCGAAGACGGGGGCGGTCGTCACGAACGATGTAGTTGAATCCGTATGATTCAGCGAGCGTACGAACGGCATCCGAAGCGCTATCGTCGAGGACATAGACCTTCATCTTGGCGGCGGGCCAGTCGAGCTTGATGACGTGCTTGTAGGTGTTCTCCAAAATCTCAAGGGGCTCGGAGCAGCAGGGGAGGTAGACGTCGACAGTGGGGGCGGTCTCATCGTTGATGGGGAATTGCTCAACGATTTGCTTGTGGCCATCGTAGTCCCAGTCGCGACCGACGACACCGACGAGGTAGGAGATGATGAGGTAGATGTTGAGGAAGCCGACGAAGACGCCGTACCAGGAGAAGATGGGGGTGCAAATGGCGAAGAGCCACATACCCGCCGAGAGGGTCAGGAAGGAGATGATGCCGAAGATGTAGAGGGGGATACGGTTGGTGTGCACGTAGCTGAGCTTCTCCTCGTCACTGGGCCCGGTAGGGAAGACGAGACCTGGCTCTTCCTTGGGGCAGTAGGTGTCCCGGAAGGCCCCATAGCCGCGCTTGAAGGGATTTCTGCTCTTGCGGGGCGGCGAGTCGGACTTCTCCGGATCGGCGCCGGCAGGGGCAGCGGCAGCCCGGCCCTGCTCGACATCGCCAGCAGGGCTCAAGACACCACCGGTCTTCTCATTAAACTCTTGTTGAGGAACATCTCCTGCTGGAGGAGCAGCGGGGGCAGGAGTCTGTTTACTCAAGGTTAGCTGCTGTACTCCTTGTGAGACCAAAGCACAACGTGGGGTGTTCCCTTACAATATCATCGACAGGTAGTTGTATCTGGGGAGGAGGATGGGCAACAGGAACCGGAGGAGCACGATCGGAAGCAGGAACCACAGGGGCAGGAACCGCAGGCGGTGCTGTAACAACAGGCGAGGGAGGATTTTCCTTTGAAAAGGTCAGTCATCAACATCTGCAAAACATAAACTCGTGGTGTTGTTGCACTTACACTAGAAGGTCTCCTCGAAGGCCCTTGAGATGATGCGCTGTCCGAAGAAGGATCTTGGAAGGGATCTGTGAGATAGCTGTTCCTGTTACCAGCCACGAGTGTGGGCCTGGTATCTTCAGCATGAGGCGGCGCCATGATGTGTGGCTAAAGAGATCGAGATGATCTGGATGGAATGGAAAGAAGGGAAAGGATGATCTGTCTGCACTGCCCAAGACCGTTTAGGGCTTGTGTCTTGAAGATCGTGAACTCTGAAGAAGAAAGACAATCCGAGACTTACGAACACTCGTCGAAGGAGTCATATAAAGGGAAGTTTTGGGAGCCATCCTAGGGGCCCTGCATGCCGTTCCCGGCATCTGCACAAGCGAAGAAGAAAAGAAAAGTCACATCAACAAAAGCCACACGCCCACACACGCCCACCCAAAGACATCGGTGAGTCCATCACTAGAGAAAGACAAGCGGCAAGCCATGAGGCTCAAGACCAGGGGGATCGACCAGGGTACCTGAGCTAGTCGGGGTCAGTGGCGACGATCACTTGCGATAGGGGACAGACACCCCAAGATCCCGACCTCGCAAGATCCCGTCCATGTGGGGGGAGTGAGAAGTTAAAGTTAGGGTAAGTACCTTCATGGCCAGGGGCGGTGAGTCCCATACGGTGTACCTGGGGCAACGAGCCTCCCACCCACTCCGTGCTAGTTACATCCGACCTTGAAGCAAATGAGAGAAGGGAAAGAAATGCAATGTAGCTGTTTGATGTGAAATTTGATACCGGGATGCTTGATATTAAAGCCTCGTGATGGGGCTTGAGAGGCGCGTCCAGAGCATGCAACTGCCCTAAATTCCCAGGACATTCCCAGGACTAAATCCAAACTCCGCCGTGGTCTTCCCCATGGCCTGTAAACGGGCTGGGGCAACTCAGATTTTGCTGCGCTTGCTGCAGGTACCCTCGCCAAGGCTCCGGCCAAGGCTCCGAGTCGAACGGTGTGGTGTGGGTATTAGGTTAATCCCTTTAAGGGTGCAAATGTGTCATTTTAGCGCCGCAGGGATGTAGAGCTAATCGGTGGTTCCCTTCGCCTGCAGGATACCTTTTTTTACCATGCAGATACCTCAATACCACCAAATCGCCAACCACTTACCAAGTACTGCTGGTATCTTCTGGGGGGCGCAAAAATGACACATTTGCACCGTTAAAGGGCTGTCTTGGCTAGGATATCAGATAGAGTAGAGTAGCGCTCACAACCGACGCGCTAGACAACAGCCATTGTGGAGGATTGGTGGATGCCGCCCGAGAACACTCTGCGGGGAGGTCGCCGACTGCGAGGTTCGGAGCCGCGCCGGTAACCAGGTGCATATCGAACTCCGATGCAGCGAAGGTGACGATGCCATCTGAATGGTACGCCTCCGACCCAAATTCCACCAAGCCGAGATGGGATCCGGCTGATACCAGGCCTTTGCGCCATAGAAATTGCAACAACGGCGACACCTCCGCCGCAAAGTTTGTGTGATTGGCCGTCGCTACCCAGCTCAGCACATCGGTACCTCTCTCATTCTGGCCCTGATACAAGACACTGGGTACAAAGTTCGGTTAGAGTTTTCTTTCTCATCCGTCAACCGGGACGATGCTGCCTTGACCGGCCGCTTCTCGGATGATTTGCAAAACTTACAACTCTGCATCCCCGACAGTCTGGGTGAAGCACGTCTTCTCCATATTCGCATCGAACCCGAGTGGTTCGGCATAGCCAAACCTCCCCACCCAGATCATGACCTCGGTCTCTGCAGTCTGCTCACTGCGTGCGTTTGCGACATTACGATCAAGGAAGAGGTCGAACGCCACATTGGCAGATGTGCCGTGGTTGGCCAGGCCGTCATGGTCGACTACCAGCGCCGGGCGAGGCGTCGGCCCCGGACCCATGGACCATTGGGCGGAGAGGACCAATGCCGAGATGTTTGACAAGGGTGTCGGCAGACCTGGAGCCATCAGCTTGACGTGGGGGTAGGAGTGGACCATCCCCGGGTTCGACGACCACGACCAGGTCGCGGCAAAAGCAGGCGGTGAGTCTTGGACCTGAAGAAAAATGTCAGTCGGAAGTAAGACAAACTAAAAAAGGGGCCCAGAAGGCGTCATCGACTTACGGATATACATTGAAATCCTTTGACGTCAGGGTTCCAGGCATCGGCGTTGACTGTGAGTTGTTTTTCGCGAGTGAAGGTTAGGTGTATGAACTGGACGAAACAAGTATGGCGTGCCTGACTAGACTCGCGCTGTGGCTGACTGGAACTGAGGACTATTGAGTGAGTGCTGAATGAAGAGCGGTGACATACAGGTCATGTTGTTGGAAGGTATCGTGTAGGCCGTTCGCCCGCAAACCGTGGTATCGTAGGCTCCGGCAGTGGTCTGGCCCCACAGGCCGACAGCTAGCAGCACTGCTAGACGTGCTAATACCGACAAGCGAGGACGTGGTTGGAAAGTTAGCGCCGCCATTGCATTTGCAGACTGGGTCTGGAACAATGTATCGAGAGCTGAGTGCTTTCAGTGAGTCGAAGTTTTCCCCGCGGCGTATGTAATGTCGAAGTCGGGATTAATGGACGATGTGATATGAGACAGCAAGTTCTGGGTAACGAAAGAAAACGAGGGAGGCGTCGTTTGGAGCAGCACAAACCCGCGTCTGTACTGCCACACGGATCTGCATCGCATGTTTCGAGAAAACCGGAAAGCTCTGACACGCCAGCATGTCCTGTACCCGTAGGATTGCCGTCTCCGTTATCCCTTCGTATTTCTTGCGATCTGCGACCATGGGCAACAAAGAAGCCCGGGAGCGGCCGTGACACGGTGCCTTGGCTGCGTCACAAACCATTTCAGCTCCCACGCGTCTGGCGCATGGGAGAATCGCAGCGTCGTGGGTGAATCCCATTGTCGGCCCATGGTTTACTTGCGGTTGGCGGTTAGGTTTGTTGGCGGTTGGTTGACGGTGGCGGTCAGGGGACAGTGGACGGGGATAGCAAACAGACAACGGACGGAATTCCGCAGTTTTTCCCTTCCCACTGCCTGCCTCCTCCTTCTCCGCCATCGCTAATCTCCTGAGTTTATCGCGTTTGTAGATGATGTGAAGCAGGGTTGCTCTGTCAGGGCCCTTTGCCGAGTCATGGATGTCCCGAACCGAGTATGATCAGCACCTCCACTGGTGACAGCTCCGCGGTGGCTGCACTGGCTGGTCCCGGGGGCCACTCTAACGAGCTGGTAAGGCACAATCGTGGCCAAGCTCGGGCCAAGCACGCGCTAATCCGCAATGCGCAGGGCGTCACGGGGCCGCCCAGGCTGCTGGCATCAGTGGCCCCTGCTAGCCCGTCCAAACCCATGTTAGAGCCGCCGCCGATCCCCTTATCTGGGGACAGCCCAAAGAAACAAACTCCGGCCGGACTGTTTTGCGGGTTGGCAACGGAGCCCAGGCCCCAGACCGTTTTGCGGGTTGGCGACGGAGCCCAGACTGAAGAAAAGCCTCCATCTCGACTGCATTGCGATCAGCCTTCAGATGCACGAGTTTGGCTTGAGTGGGCTTAAGCCACAAGTGCCCATCTTCGCCTTATCCACGACGCGCAACAACGAACGTCTGGTCAAGTTTGATTTGCCTGTGACAGTCATCATCAATGACTGGCCGATAGCGGTAGGGCTCACCGCATTTAACCTTGCGCAAGAGAAAGCTAAGCGCAGGAAAGGAAGGTGCCAGTAAAGTGGGGACAGCTGAGAGAGTTAGCAAGGTGTGTCTATACTCCGATCATTTGCAAATTCGGGAGCAACATGCTGGTTGCTTCTGTGCCGGATCGTCGAGAGAGTACCTACTGCGGTATTCAATTCATCACGGTGGATACTTGTCCTTATTGCGGACACCCATGCCCAGTGGTGAAGATCCCCCACTTTATCGTGCTGAAACAACTATCCCCAAGCGAAATCCGTACCTGGGGAAAGAGACGAATGGGAATCAGGCTCGGGGACCAGTCCAAGGTGCCGGTTCTGTCGGTGTTCAGAAAGTGGTGACACGAAGTCGATGCCCGAGGGAATAAGTGAGCTTGGCACTTTTTCTGGCCCCATTCCAGCATGGGTTAGTCATGGGTAATCCCACCCAGCGGCAGGGAACAATGGTGCCGGTGAGAAGGCGGACAGCGGACAGACTGCTGATGGACTGTGACCACACCCGGATGCGTGATGGCTTCTGTCATGGGTTACCCCTGGCACAGACGGGTCTTTCTGCGCCACGCCCATGAAGAAATCATGTTGTGACGAGAAGCCGTAGCCGGGACATGGTGCTATAACACTCGGGAGATGGCGAAGATAATTGCTCAATGCATCGGGAACAGACTTGAGCACCTCTTCTAGACGTAGGATATATAACAATATCCCCGAGACACTCCTAACAGCCGTAACCCTTGGGGGCAAAGCACATCGTTCCAAGACATTCGGACAACACAGAAGTATCAAGTCCTCTTTTCACTCTCTTTTCCACTTTGATCAGCAGAGCAGCACATCGGGGCAACATGGACGCCAACCACACTCACAATTGCTGTTGCTCCTCCCGCCGAGATGGCCCCCAGTCGCCCTTGGTTTCTCCATCACCAGGCCCTCTTACTAGATCACTCCCCAGCACCCACTCGCTCGCTTCCGCTTTGAGCCCAGGGGCCTCGACGCCAGGCTCGTGGACCGCCCATCCGTGGTCTCCAGAAAGCGCAAACACTTCACCTCCTAGCACACGGTCAGGCTCGCCAGAACTCAAGGTGAGGTTTCAGACTGAGAAGGTCAACACTGCTCCACGAGTAGACGTGACCGAGGTGCTCCCTACCGTGACCAAGTCGGTGAAGAGCATCTGCTTTGTCGGCGCAGGCTTTGTTGGTATGTTTACCTCTCCGAGTTGTTTCTGAGAGAGAAGATTGCTAACCTCGATCGCATAGGTGGACCAACTGCTGCCGTCATTGCCTACCACAACCCAGACATCACGGTCAACGTTGTTGATCTGAACGAGCAGCGAATTGCGGCTTGGAACTCGAGCCAATTGCCAATCCACGAAGATGGCTTGTTGAAGGTTGTAAGGACAGCTCGCGATGGCACCTTGGACACCATGGTGAAGATTCCGGGCCTTCCCAGATCGCTCAAGCTCGACGCCCGCAGCCCCAACCTGGTATTCTCGACCAAGGTGAACGAAGCCATCGAGGTGGCTGATGTCATCTTCATTTGCGTCAACACACCCACCAAGACCTATGGTCTGGGAGCCGGGTCGATGGCCGATATCAGCATGGTGGAGAGTGCTAGCAGGACCGTCGCGCAGCACGCCAAGAAGGGAGCCATCATTGTCGAGAAGAGCACTGTCCCATGCGGCACAGCCCGTGTCATCCAAGATATTGTGAGTGGACATATCGAGTTGCCCGAACTGCGGGCAGGGTGCTAACAACGACTAGTTCAAATACTACCGCCCCAATGACGACTTTGAGATTCTATCGAACCCCGAGTTCCTTGCCGAGGGTACCGCCGTCGAGAACCTCATGCACCCGGATCGCATCCTGATTGGCAGTGCCCGCACCTTGGCCGGAATGAAAGCGGCCGAGAGTCTCAAGAACGTGTATGCCGCCTGGGTTCCTCAAGAACGTATCATTACCGTCAACACCTTCAGCAGCGAGCTGTCGAAGCTTGTCGCCAACACGATGCTGGCCCAGCGTATTAGCAGCATGAACGCTGTCAGTGCCATGTGCGAGGAGATTGGTCTGGGATCCGATGTCGACGATGTCAGCCTGGCCCTTGGACAGGATTCGCGAATCGGGCCCAAGTTCCTCCAGGCAGGTGTGGGTTTCGGTGGTTCATGCTTCGAGAAGGATATCCTCAACCTGTCGTACCTGGCGAGGGAGCTGCACTTGGACGTTGTTGCCGATTACTGGCTGGGTATCCTGAAGATCAACGAGTATCAGCGTGAGAGATATGTGCACCGGGTTGTCAAGGAGTTGAACGGTTCGCTGCGTGGAAAGAAGATTTCCGTTTTGGGCTTCGCCTTCAAGGACGGCACCAACGACACGCGCAACAGCATTGCTGTGCACATCATCAAGAGCCTGGCTGAGGAAATGCCGTTGGAGATTGCCATCTTTGATCCGGGATGCGCTGCCGACGAGATCATGGAGGAGATTGGGAAGATTGGCTTGACCAAGGCTCAGCTGGAGCGCGTCAAGATCTGCTCCAACTGGCGTGACTCGGTCAAGCAGGCCAGCGCTGTGTGCATCCTGACCCAGTGGAAGCAGTTCCGCGGCTCTCAGCTTGGAACAAAGGCAAGCGTCAAGACACCGTCTAAGCCGGCCATCACCAAGACCTTTGTCAACGGCAAGCTCACCGAGATGGCCATCTTGGAGCTGGAGGCCATGGTAGCGCGCGACCTCAACATCACCGACGAGGACCCTCTCCGAAGACTCAAGCCCGAGGGTGCTGCTGAGGGATTCGAGATCTTTGGTTTGGCGGCACAAATGATGGAGGAAATCAGCCAGGAGCCAGTCAACTGGTTTGAGGCCGCGTCGCTCATGCAGGAGCCCCGATGGGTGTTTGACGGCCGCAATGTCGTCGATGCCATTGAGCTCCAGTCGCTTGGCTTCAAGGTGCGCGGCATCGGCAAGTGATTTTCCGGAACTGAAGGAAGTTGGTAATTAGGGACGAGTAATGGATCGATGATATACAGAAAAGATTACGGGTAATAAAGAGTTTGGGTGTTTCTGGCGTCTGGTTCGACGGCTTCATCGGCCTCGGTTTGGATACAATTGGACGGGACAAGGGTACTGGACGGCTTTCATGATATCAAGACGGGTTTCTTGAAGGAAGGAAAGGATTGGATTTGGAGGATTGGATTCTTCTGCCTAGGTGGTTATAATAGCGATTCGTTGCGTTCTCATTCCGAACCAATAATTGATTTGCGTTGTTCCTTCCATATGCCGCGACAAGTTTTGATGAAATTGGGAAAGTGAGGGGTTGATCGGACCGGGAGCAAAGAGACTCCGCTTTCCAGTACATGTTTGTGACCGTAACGCTTGGACGACACATCAAACTCTCGCCACAGATAAGCTCTTATCGTTCTTTGTACGTAATCCGTGTAAAATACACAACACTCCAGCACCCCACCCCACCAAATCACCAGATCGTCATCAGGGAAAGAGCGTCGCGAGCAGACCACTTTCGTCTCTCAGTGACGCCTGACGACTCGGACCGACTATCAGCAATGGTGACTTCCCATCTCGATGCCTTCGTTTGTTGTGTGACCTGGTCACATTCTTCCGCTCCGACCAACGGACATTGGCGAGGTGACGGATTTTCATGATCGGCAGCGGTCCGAACTCTCCTTCCGCCAACAACCAACGCGATTTAGGCACATCCAGGCACATCCGACAGCTCAACAGCCATCGGCTAGAGGCAAGTGTAAGCTTCATCCATCCCTTCCGCTCCCTTCAACTTTACTTGCTTTGTCTCTTTATCCAACATCCGGGAGTTTGTTGGTCGCCGCGTAGGTTTTTTTCAATGTCAATCACGACAATATGCAGCCGTTTTCAGCTTGCGACGCCAACCAAGGTGGAATACTGAAATCTGCCATGGACTAACTCGAGACCACAGAATCAAAAAGTCTAGACCACGGCGCAGTACCGCAGCCTTGCCGTTGCTACACACACCCCGAACAATATCGCAATAAAGACACGCCGCGGCGTTCCCAATCGAGACGACTGCTACGTACACTGCTACTGCGACCATCCACGGGTTGGCGGCTAACCCCGGTGGTGACCATGCGCGGACCAAGCGATTAAGCGCAATAGACGCGCTACTCCAAAAGTTCCCATGTCCCGGCTGCCTCTCTCGAGCCTTTCAACCTCGTCGACCTGCATCATGAAATTTCGGAAGGATTCGACGATATCCCCGTCCATCATTGAGGCATGATCTCGACGGAGTTCTGTATGCAGGTCGGAAAAAGCTCAACCGTCTTGCATGGCTGCTAGGATATGAGACCAGAGAAGACGACCTCCCATGTCCGCGGCTACAGACCTGCATCGCTGCAGGCTAAAGGCTTGGGTGTTTCAACCTTCATGCTTCAGATTCCAAATGGCCAGCCGGTTTCTGACTGGTGAACATAGGCGCCTGCCTATTTCTAGTTCATCAGCTCCTGCACCTAACCCAGAGGGTGTACCTTTGGCCTCCATCATGGCATCCGACAAAAGGTCGAGAAGAGGTCCGAAAGAAGGCGATGCTTCTGGAATGACCAACATGAGCGGCCAGTCCCATCCCATTGATGCGCACCGTTCCGTACTCCCCTTCTTCTTTGAGCAGAGACTGATGGACAATGGAGAGGCATGCAAGGGGCTGGCCCTTTCTCTGTTCAGCCGTGACATACGAAGCTCACACGCAATCCACTACCACATCTTCACCTCGGTCATCATTTGACACTGACAAATCCCCGTGTGATCACACTTCCCCTCTCCTCCGTAATGCTGCCTGGAGCTTGGTCATGCGGCTGAGGAACTCACATCAAGGACCTTCTTGGACAAGGCTAGGCGATTCTGTCGTTGCCCACATCATTTCATGCCCTCTGGGAGCGAAAGTCAGCCTTGCTGGCGTGTTTGTACCATCATTATCGTCTTGTACGACAAGCCCATACACCAGCCCAAAGTACCAGCAAAAGTCGCCGAAAAGTGCCAAGATGGAGCCGTCAAAGATAGCACTGGGAATCTTTTGCTTTCCAAAAAGGGACATGCTTTCGGGTCATCGAGCGCTTCGATTGGTACCCCTTTTGCTGGTTCTGAAACGTGAACGGCATCGTCGCCAGACTCCTACATACAACTTCCCCAAAGCACTCTTCCTTCTCGCACCGTCTGCCACAGCGCTTGGTCCATCAAGCGACTGGCACAACGTTGCCTTGGCAGACGCCGGTTTGGCAGACGCCCACTCCAGCGACCCTTTTGACACTGTCGTGGAACTAACATTCTGGAATAGAGGCTGAGGTGTAACCCCATGTCGAATACCATCAAGACGAAAACCGTTTACCAAGGTCGACGACATGCTCATTACATCACCCAGTCAGTCCTTGTCAAGTGACTTGATGATCAATATTCAAGATTGGTGAGAGTGCGCAGCCTGCCCCAAAGGGGAAAAGCTCAGCTCCTTCACTGTGTCTTGAGGTTCTCCACGGCAGCCCCAGCCAAGTCCTCCCACGCAACGCCCACTTCTCAACGCTCCTACTTCTAGGGCTGGAACCAATCCAGCAGAGCACAGCCCCAGACCTTTGCAGTAGGCCGAGCTCTCCAAGAATGCAAGACCCCCGCGGCGCCAGCAATGGTTCGCTGCACGTTTGCCCTGTACCTGCTTTTGCACTTGGATCAAATCGCACCTATTGCACTAATCAATTGTCCTCTCGAATACGGTCCTCAAATCGGGCTCTGCTTTCACTCCCGCTAATCACTTGCAGATGGTGATGACATGCTGGTGGTTGCGGGGAACGAATTGCGGTTTGTCGAGATGACTGGCCGCCCATCCAGTACATCCAGGCTGCCGGACACTTGTGGCGCTTGATGCGACCGATGCGACAGGGTCGTCCTCACCCCTGTCTGCCCTGTCACACCCTCAAAAAGAGTCCTACACACGCGGTACGTATAGGGCAATGTGGAGGACGCAGGACACGAACGGTGGACTCCAGTGAGTCAGGACGCCGAACGAAAAACCATGGCCTGATAGTGTCGTCGTCAGAAGATCCCCGAAGTATGGAAGAAGTCCTACCAGGTGATAAACTCCGGTTTTAGTATGTCAGCACTGTCCCTGCTTTTCCGGCTTTTGCATATCGAGAGTGAAGCATAGGCCGTGTCAACGAAATCGATGTTGGCTCAGCAAGTCTCCCTGGCGACCTTGTCATCCCAACAGCCATTCCGGTGGTGAACTTTTGTTGTTCTTACCATCTCCTTCCGGCCCGAGAATATTGAATCCTTCGCACAGCCAATGGGTTGCCTCTGAAGCGAACCCTAGTTTCATCATTTCCGCCAACATTCACAAACATCACTTTCACTACAATGACGGTAGGACGGTTGCGGGGAGGAGCGAGGGTGGTGTTGAGGGGTGGACGACCAGGGGTCGTGATGGTGGGGGTGAAGCCTGGGAAAATCCAAAGATGACTGGGGATCACAGGGCCTTGCGAGGTCCTGGTCTGGGCTCCCTCTTGGCTCTTCCGCCCTGTCCTTTATACATCACCAGTGTGGTGTAACTATTCCCATGTCCACACTTTTCCTATTGCGGTCGTCATTTATCTTCGATCCAACATTTCTTTCTCCCATCTTCAGGGATTTCCACCGGAGCGGAGAACCCTGGAATGATCCCAGCAAAAACTGGGGAGGAGAAAAGGCGCGCCGCGCTAGAACGCCCGGGTACAAGAGTTACCACGATGTGGTAGCTCAGCCCTTCTGGGCTGTGTTGTTATTGATTGGACGGGGGCGATGCACCTCGTACTGCCCACACCCCCGACCCTCCACTTCCACCCCCAGCTCGCAAAGAGAAGTGACTCTTTTGCCAACTGGCGGCCTGGAGGCAGTCGCATTCGCCGGATTCTCATTGAAGCATGATCAGTTACTGCCTGGGGAGGGGGTGTGGATCGAGGCGAGCCTATGAGGCATCTCGTCGCTACACCCGCTCAGTTCGTACATGGGTCATGAACTGCGGACAGTGTGAGACTTTGAGTGGCCTGGCACACGCCCAGGCTGCCCACCTACACACTTACACGAACTGGAAGCTGATGACACCTCTCGAGACTCCGGTTCACCTTTACCACACACCGAAGCACTTATAAAGACCAGACCACCCGCCACTTGGTCCGACCTCGATCCTCACCACCTCACCATCGCCTTCATCAACACATCAGTCACAGTCTGTTACCAACATCTCCAAACAGATTCACACATCAGGCCAAGGCCCGGTGATCCATCCAACAACTCAACACAACAACAACATCAACACTACAGTGACCTCGCCGCATCAGACTCCGTCTCGTCGACAAGTTGTCACCACCAAACCCAACCACGACCGTCGTTGCATGTTCCCATGTCTTTGAGACATCAGTACCCAAAGGACAGCTTTAACTCAGACACGGCCGACTGACATCGACTTCATGGATCGATACCCGGACGTACGAATTGAGAACATAGTCTACGACTCCTCACATCACCACAAACACACAACATCATTGCCAACACCTCTTCCATCACCAACCTTTGGCACCGAGTTTGAGCCTCATCGTCGATACTCGCACTCGCATTCCCACCGAGGACAACTTGCTCCTCCGTCTCCAAGAGATCTAGCATTTTCAGAAACCTTCTCATCTGGTACCAAGCACAACGACAAGATGTGTACCCAGGAGATTAGCCACAACACCTACGCCAGCGGGGCGCGGCCCGACGTCACCGAGACTGTTCACCTATGCAGCAAGGGCTTCTGCGCTGTCCCCAAGATCAAAGAGATCTGGCAGGAGCTCCCCGACAAGTCGAGCAGAAGCGAGCCCAGGTACGGTGGATACCTGCCTGCCCATCTGCCGCCTACACCTCGCGAATCCAAGGAGCCTTCGCCCGTGGGCAAGCGGGACTCTGGTTACCTCCATGGCACTCGGTTCTCGGAGCCTTCGCGCTCCTCGAGACACAATGACGACTACTCGAATTACAAGTATGGCAGCAGCCCAACTGACAGCAAGAACAAGTCGGATGTTTACACACGTCCCTCCGTCGTGCTCACGCAGACCCTCGGTGTCCCTCACGAGGATAAGACTCGTCGCCGCTCCCCTCACGAGCGCGACCCCAGCCCCAAGCGTGGCCCCGCTATTCCCTACCGCGAACACTCCAAGAGCGACCGCGGTTACGATGCTATCGTGACTAACCTCGCTGACGAAGACCGTCGACGTCGTCGCGCTCACAAGTCCTCTGATGCCGTTTCCACCACCGCCACCACCGGCATCCCTACCTCCTCTCGCCCTCCCCTCTCGAGCTCCAACCCCGGCCGCTACGGATCCAGCCCCAACGGCCCCAGCGGCATGGACTCGATCCGCCGTAGGAACAGCGTCTCTTCTCGCAACGATGACACCGGCCGTACACCCCGCCCGAGAACCGCTTCTGGAGGATCTCGCTCGCGCGCCTCGTCCGTCGGCGTCCGCTTCGCCGATGAAGTCGAGTCCAAGATCAGGCAGCAGAACGCCGAGATCGCCAGCCGCTCCAACAAGCCGAGCACCGAGCAGGGTACTAACCAGCCTGAGCTCAAGGGCATTCTCAAGAAGCCCGCTGGTGCCCGCGAGGAGAGCAACGAGCGCAGCAAGGAGAAGAAGGGAAAGGGAGCCGAGGTGGACATGACCGTCGAGGAGTTGAAGAGGTCGGTGGAGAGCTTGGGGCTCAGGGGGTCTTCCAGCCGGGACAGGGAGAGGGAGAGCAACGTCTCTTCGTCTCTCACCGGGTCGATGGGCGAAATCGATTACGATCGGTTGAGGAGCAGGTTCGATAGGGATAATGGTGGAAGCACTGGGCGGCATGGAAGCCATAGGGTGAGAGAGGTTAGGGATGGTGACCGGCACCTCTATTATTGAGCGGTACCTGGGGGGAACGGGAGGAGCTTGTGAGGAGCGACCACGATGAACGGAAACACGAAAATCGACAAAAAATTCGCTTCGACGGCATGACCAAAAGGTCGTGCCACTGTATTACTAGGAAGATTTGATATCGTGGGCTTCACATGGCGATTTGGGTTTGCGATTGCTTCAACGATCATACTTTCGCTTCTTTAACTAGTAACTTTTCTTCTCTTGTCAGGGAATTTTAGGATTAGTCAACATGACATTTGCAATGATGCATCACTTCGTTGTCCCATTTTGCGTGCTTTTTTGCTATGACTTTTTGTCCCCAACTTCTTGCCATTTCTCCAGTTCCTTTCCCCTCTCCCAACACGACTCCCAGAAACCATACTTCACATGCAACCAAAAGCATGAAGCTATTCCCACATTCACCTTTATCTCCAACCTTCAACCTCCCATTACAACGCCGTGCTTACGCCCGTCGCTCCGCCCCCACCACCCTGTGAGGGCTCCTACTCTGCCACCCAGCCTCCTATCGTCAAAAAGTATACAGTGCACTTTGTCGTCCTGCAGGCGTTACGGACTCATGCAGTCAGCAATCGCTCCCATTCGGGAAGTTATGGTTCCCCATCGTCGTTGCGACTTCGCGATGCAGCATCACGACACAGTACGAAGAACAGTCAAATCGTCAATGGGGAAATAGTCAGCAAGCAGGCTCGCCTTATGGAGCTCGGCATTTCAGGGCACCGCCGCGCACCATTCGCAAAGATCCGGAAACTAAGAGGTTGTGGTTACGATGAGCGAGAAGGTCGTATCCCGTTTTACTTTGGCTTTTGAGTTATGACGAGAAGCATCGTATTGTATTGCTATGGTAGCGTTCGCTTACTATCGCTTCCTTAGAAGGAAACAGATGGACATCGTACCCGGAAAGTAGAAAAAAAGGAAACCGACGATCTCAAATGCGACGAACGAATGGCATTGGTCGAAGATTGGTTGAAGGAGAACTGGCGATGCAGGCACCGATGACTTTTTACTGGCGAACAGCAAAGTGTAAAGCCTTTCTATGCCAGTGGTCGAAAGGTAAAAAGGTCTTGGATGATGTGCATCTTCATCTTCATCGCCTCATTGCTTGCATCGTTTTGCCACTTTCGGGTGTAGCCGATTTGACGAACCGACCGGCCGACTGATTCAACCGACCGAATCGCGGCGAACATCGTGCGCATCGATGTTGGGCATTTCGTGAACCGCTGACCATTGACATCGCGCTGCGCATTCCTTGAGCAATGACGACATCGAAGCAAGCCCACGAGGTGCAGACGGAGTGGAGAAGCGGAGGAGATCGCCGACGGAGTTTTCCCCGCGTGTAGCCGGCAGTACCCGCACCAAAGCACCGAACAAACTAACAAATCTGGTAACAACTTGCACACATTCCTGTTAGTGACCTGCACCCGCACATCCCAGCTCTCCAAACAGCAAGCACCGCCCAGGCACCCGCGCCTGCGCCTGCACTAGCAAAGACCCTGCACGCCCTGTAAAGACCCTGTTTCTGCAGCGCTCTGCCTATGGCCCAAAGAGGTCCGAGTTCAAACCGCAGTCTAAGTAGTAACCCATGCTACAAATCTCGGCTTTACGAGAGCTAATTACTAAAGAAATACTCTTAGATACAACCAACAGCAAAATTATTGAGATGACCAGACTTTCCTCGAAGGTAGAACTTTGAATTGGCTTTCCAATGGTGTCATTTTCATTAGGAAGATAATTCAAAAAGGGGTTGCCCTGAGGCCCATCCTTAGGGAAAAGGGGCGAGAAAAGGTACTTGTCATGGGGCTAGAGCCCAGGGGTTAAGCTTGGCCGTTGCCAAGCTGTGTCCTACCTTATCGATAGGGTTCCTGCCTTATCGATAGGGATGCGCGCTCTCTAGTTGGCCAGACCCACATGTTTGCCTGGCCCGTGCCCTCTTGGCGCCTGCACCTTAAAACCTTATTCTAATTGCCTGCCTTCTACTAGTAGTCTTCTCTTTCTTTCCTTATTAAATATAGTATTTTAACTTTATATGACTACTCGCTATGCTTTACTCTTGTAGACCTATTATATTATATTTGACCCTCTTTTTAAGTACTCTATGCTTCGCCTATATGCTAGAAGAGTTTCCTTTCCATATTGTTTTCGTTTCCCTTAGTAATATTGTCCTCCCTGTCGCTCTTATTTCCCTTAGTGATAGTACCCCTTCTTCTACGTTTTTTGCGCTGCTATTCTTTTACTGGTACGTTAGAAGAATTTTTACCGCTCTTACGATCCCTAATGATATTCTTCTTACTCGATCTACCCCGTTCATTTACGATCTACTTTAATTTTAGCCGTTACTACCCGGACTCCCGTCCCTCTTAATAACAGTATTAAGATTTCGAGCATTTAAGTTTGTACGTAGATAGATTTGCCCTCTATAATATAGGTTTATTGCCTACCTTTTCGTATATTATCCTCAATAGTAATACCCCTCTCTTTTCGCTTCTATTTCCGTTAGGTATACTTTAGTTAAGGACGCCAACGGTTCTAGGATGTTATCGTCGCTGTTATAAGGAGCTTTGAACCTAATTTACAATAAAGGAGGAAGAGGAAGATAGAAGTATAAATTTAGTATTTAAATAAATGTAATTTAGTATAGCCCAGTTGGAGGCTTAGGCAGTTACGACGATAATAGCTAAGAAGAGGAGCTCTTAGATTAAGTGGTACTTTATTAAAGGTAACCTTAATAAAATTATAGTGGAGGGAAGTCTATAAGTTCGTAAAAGAAGGACTTCTATAGTTATTTAAATATAGTTTACTAGTTAGGAACTTAATTAATTTTATTCTACCCCTCTACATATATTTTTATTAGGAGAATCTATTATAAAACGCAACTGTAGGAGGGTGGTAATATTATATTCCGTAGGTATAAGGATTATTGGGGCCGCTTTTAGCGAGAAGTGTAGTGGATTATTTAAAGGTAATTCCTACTAGTAGGAGAAGTAGAGCGAAACGAAGTATTGGGTAATAATTTTAATTCTAACTACTTCCTAAGTATAAATATTTCTAATAGTAAAAGAGGATCCCTAATAGGAAAGGTTTAAATATATCCCCTAATTTAGTCTTGGTACCTATAGCCTTTGGGTGTAGTTCTGTGAGAATAACGGCGGGCGCGTTCGTTACCGACTTAGGTAGTAAGTAGGTAATCGTATAGTATTTATTTGGGGGTTTAATGTAGATACTCTTTTTAGTATTATTAATTCTTTTCCGTTTAAATGGGTATTTAGTTGGGAGCGGTTGATGCTAGATTTCGTTATTTTTATATAAACAGCTACTTTATACTTTGTACAGTAGATCGTTCTTTTTAGGAGGGAGTAGAGTAGAGCTTCCAAGGGGTAGCGGGGCTTCTAGGGAGGAGTAGGGGGGTAATGTTATAGGGTTAGAGCCTAGGGGTTAAGTTTAGCTATTACTAAGCTGTATCCTACCTTATCGATAGGGTTCCTACCTTATCGATAGGGATGTGCGCCCTCTAGTTAGTTAGACCCACATATTTACTTAGCCCATACCCTCTTAGCGCCTACACCTTAAAACCTTATTCTGACTACCCGCCTTCTACTAGTAGTCTTCTCTTTCTTTCCTTATTAAATATAGCATTTCAACCTTACATGACTGCTTGCTATGCCTTACTCTTGCAGACCCGTTACAGTACTTCAACCACGAACCAAACCCTCAACACCACTTTGAGGATGCAATGGTTCAAATTTTACTCGAAGGTAGAATTTTTCATTTTCTGTCCAATGATACCATTTTTATTAGGATGCGACGTGGAAAAGTGGTTTCCTTAGTGCCTATCCTTGGAGAAAAAGCTGAAACAAAAGTGTGGCATGGGTTGGTTTTTAAGGATGGGTCTTAGGGTAACCTCTTTTTGAATTATCTTCTTAATGAAAATGGTATTATTAGAAAGCCAATTCAAAATTCTACGTTCGAGGAAAATCTGGTTCCTTTAATAATTTTTATATTGGTTTATGACCAAATTCTTTTCGAAGTACTTTTTCCATTTGTATGGAGAGTGTGGCATGGGTCGCCCTTTTTCTACATCGAGAACTCAGACCTCTTTTTTGGGCGTTCTTAGAAAAATGGCCCGTGCGCAGCAGCTGCCAGCTGGTTGAGCCGTTGAGGTACGTACCTTTTACAGCCCAGAAAAGAAGGAAGGTCTGAACGCTGAGATAAGCCAGGTCCAATGACTTACACGCTCGCCGCATTTCCTTTTTCGGACGAACGCTCCCGTCCCAGTTGCTTTCGGTCGCCGGACAAGCCCCAGGTGAAGAATCGACAACCTAATACAATCGACAAAAAGCCCGACCGAGGCGAAGGAGCCGAGGGTCAACCGTTGGGAGAGAACATGATCGCTGTCGGCGCCGATGCGGCGCGGAAGGCATACAGGCGTAGAAGATGTGAGGAGGCGGCGCAGGCAGCGATTTGGTGGGAAGTTGGGGGCCGTTTCGAAGAGATGAGATGATGAGATGAAGCGAGGTGGTCTGGTGGTTCAGCTGGAGGCCTTCCGTCAGCCTTTTTGACGCGGGCCATGAACAATGGATGCAGATGCATCTTCCGGAGTTCACGCGTTCGAGAAGCATCACGAAACAAAGCGAACAATGATCCTGGCCCTGACTTCCGAGACCTTTTGCAGGAACCGGACATGAGAATGGCATTGTTCAACTTCGTTCTTGCCGACATGGCGGATAAGGTATTAAAGAAGTTGCGCAGGGAGGACCTGAGTCACCACTGCACGCGCCACCTGGCCTACTGCGATTCTTTTTCGGTAGGCCTAAAATGTTCACTTACCCTGCACAACAATGGACACAGCCAGGCAGCGCCAGGAAAGCGACGAAAGTTCGAAAAGATAGGTAGGCATATTATGAACAGAAGGTGCACTACCATAGGGGAACTCACAGACCGTGGATTCATAGCAAATGGTATTGTGGAGGATTACTAACAAGCATCTAGCATCACTACTCCTAAACATAACTGTGTCCTTCGATGCCCTCGCCGTTCGTGTAATGCCGGAGTCCCAGAGTAGTCCCTTTCCTAGGGTCCTTCAAGAGGACTCATCCCAACAACAAGATGACAAATGCGTTCGTCATCCCTACGGCCCACCCACCCGGCTGGAAAGGGCAAAACGACACGGCAGACACCTAACCTCACCCAGACCGATCATCACCACTCACCATACCAAAGACCGCAAGCCCATCCCAAATTCCCACCCAGACACAAGTGGTGTGGTGAGTCCGTTCTTCAGCCGCACCGTAGCGAGCAACGTCACTTGCTGACACAATTGTGCACCGAGCCACCCAGCCTTGTGTCCATGACACACTCCGAGTCCAAGACGAGGCCAAGACCACAAGCCACGGCCGGGGATCACCGGACGGTGCCACCGGTCACTGTGGAAGCCATGATGATAGGTGGGAAAGGTGGTGGATGGATGACGAGGCTGGTGATGACAGAGTTGATTCGGACAAAGTTCCTGCTACGAGGTATCGGCGTCTCCAGACGGTCCAGGTGAGAAGACAGAAGTTGAAAAGATGACTCGAACGAGGTGAACGGCTGACACCGAGGTGAGGAGAATCATGGTAGATGTGTGTGCCTCAGGATGACCACCATGACCACTGCGTAAGCGTAGGACTGCCCCTTGCAGATCGCAGCCGAACTGGAAGTGGAGCGTAAGCAACATGTAGAGGTAAGATGTGCCTGCGCCGTACATGCGTTTATCTTTCTCCACTGCGTGAACGGATTGGGGTGTTCCTGCGTCCGAGTCTTGGAAAGCAGTTTTCAGCTGGGTTGTGTCGCCGGACCGCGTGATGGGGGACGAGATGTGAGTCCTACGGAGGACGCGAAAAGAGGTGGCCGAGACTTGGTTACTGTCATCTTGACATGACAGTAACCTTCCACTGACGGAGCGAGGAAATCACCCTGTTCATCATCATCGGAGATAACGAAGCCGAAACACAAAGATCCTATTTTCGCTGCCTGGTACCGGCGATCATGGCGACGCTGGATGGATTGCGCGGCTTCGGTCGCGGATGAAGGAAGGAAAGGGAAGTGGAGAAGCGAAGACTAGGACAAACCGAGAACCGAGAGACATGGACCGGCAGACTTCGATGTCTTCTTCATCCCTTGATACTACGGATCATGACAGTCGGACCACATCCAGAAGAACTGAAATCTTGATGAGCGGCAGGGAAATATTGAACACCTGACGATAAGAATTTTCCAACGCCAAGTCCCGTGGTAGATAGAGGCGTCCGCCGTATCAATGGCTCGGTGTCTCACCTGCACACACCTTCTTCACACCTTGCTTCTGGCTGCAGACCGTATGTAGGCGTACAAACACCAACTTTGTAATATGTATCGCTCTTGTGTGCCATTGTGTGGTTGCGCGCCGTGTAAGAGGGTTGGGTAAAGTGTGCGACTGCAACTGCGCGAGTGCCATGTTGCGCGAAGAAGAGGGACAAGGCTGGCTGAAGGCCGCCCATGTCCTACACCACCTTTCCCTTCAGATAATGTTGGTGCGGTAGTGTTGGTGTGGTGGTTATGGTGGTGGTGTGAAAGTTTTGATTCCGGTGCGGAGAAGACGCCCGGCTGATGGTGGTGGCGTGGACCGATGGTGTGGAAGTGTGGTGCAGAAAGGTGTGGGTGTAATGGTGTAATGGTCAAGGTGTGATGTTGTGCAGCTCAAGTGAACGGCCAGGTGAACGCGGTGTGTCATTCCATCGCGATTGCCAAAAGAAATGTTTGTGTCTGCTGTTTCTGTGTCCGTCGTCTCGGGATGGTAGCTTTTTTCGGCGCCGGTAATGTCTTGTCCCGGATGCTCCTTCCCGACTGAGCGATTGCGATCTGTGTGTTTCGCCGTCTGTGGCAGGAACGGTCAACGGTCAACGGTCAACGCCGCAATCCCGACCATCTGGGACCCGACATGATTGAGGCGCAATCCGTATCGTGTGTCCGATCAGATTTCGTTCGTCATCCTCCGCCGTCTCTTCTTCAGGAGCGACCCGGCCTGAGGTTGTGCAGGTGGAGTGTCCAGTTGCACTCCCGGTCCCAAGCCGAAATCAGCTTGCACCGCTTCCGGAGCCGGAGCCGGATCAGCAGCGGGGAAATCTTTCGGGAAATCGGCTGGAAAGTCAGCAGGGATGTCCTGTGGGATGTCCTGAGCCGGGAATCCATCAGACCCGGTCAAATCCAACGGCTGCTGTGGCTCCTGCGGTGGCGACGGAGGACCGTTCTCCCCTTGCGGTCCCAATCCAAGATTCGGTACCAACGCATCGTTCGCAGGCGAGGAGACTCCATATTCAACGGTATCAACTTGCTTCTCACCACCCGACACCGAAACCGTCGTCTTCGAGTCGTCATCCTTGCCCACAACCTCCGAGCAAAGGCCGATCCCCTTCGCCAACTCCCCAGCCAACACATCAATGCCCCCCGACTCCTTATCCTCAACGCCAAACTCGATGATAAGAACATCATCCAGATAACCATGATACCCCGCCCCATCCTCGTCTCTGTGGTAGTCGCGCCAATTGACGCTGGTCACATAAAACATCTCCGTTCTTTCTTGTCCGTCCTGTCCTTCCTGTCCCTCCCCCCTAGTCCCTTCCTCGCCCTTCCACTGACCCGCCGCCCATCGCTTCCGCCCCTCGATCCAAAGCGGCTTTCGCGAAATACCAAACACTTCAAACCCCGGCGCCTTCTGACTAAACAAAACCACATAAGGCTCATACTCCGAATGGAAGTGGTAAAACCGCTTGTATTGAATAATCGTCAGGGTGAACGTGTTTTCCTCCGTCACCACGCATAAAGGATCGGAGCGGTTGCAGAGAGTTAGACGGAGGCTGTTGGTGGATTGGTGGATTGAGACTGGCTCGTCGGGGGGGAGAGGAGGTAAGAAATGGGAGAGGCATTTCTCGTCGGCGGCAGCGGAGATGGAAGAAGAGGCAATGGCGGTGGCGGAACCGTCGTCGTGGAGGAGGGCGAAGGAGCGGTGGGGGAAGAAGTCGTAGTGGATGTAGGTTTGGGGTTGTTGAACTTGGGGTTGTTGAACTTGGGGTTTGTGATGGGAGGATTCTGGGGAGGAGTCGGAGTCGGAGTCGGAAGAGCCAGAGCTGAGGGGAGGAGGAGCCCAAAAGACAAACCAATTCTTCTCCACCTCTCCCCATCCCTCCGGCGCAATCTTTGGCTTCTCCTCATCCTTCTCCTCGAGCCCCTTATCCTCACCAGCCGCCCTCAACTCCCCGTTGCCCTTCACCCCCGCTCCCTCTCCCGCTCCCGTTCCCTTCCCATCACCATCACTCGTCCCTATGATCATAGGCCTCTGCAATTCCCCCGCAACCCTCCACCCCTCCCCCGCTCCAAATGCCTCCACCTCCACCCCCCACCACTCCACCAACACCCTGAAATCCTGCATCCACATGCCGAAGCAGGTAAACTGCGAATTGCTTCCGAAAATCGTGTACGGCTTGCCATCCCCGCCGTAGAAAACGCGAGCATCGTGCGGGCCGACGTTGAATGATAGTACCCCCAAGAGGGGACCGACGCAATTATTTCCTGGTGTTGCTGCTATCGGCAGCGGTAGGGGAGGAGACTGCGGTAGACAGGAGAGGACGTTGGTTTTGGGGTGGAAGGAGGCGAGACAGTGCAGTGCTGATTGCATTGTTACGTGCTGAAACTTCATTTTCCCGGTAGTTTCATTGGTGTCAGGAGAGTCAGGGGATGGTTTTCGAGGCCGATGCCATTTTTGAGCCGCCACGATGTACACTCCCGGACGAGTAGGATGGGGGATAATGTTCGGATTGAAAGCGGGTGTGTTTTCGGCGAATTGGATGCGGAAGTAGGAGCCGTTGGCGGTGGAGACTGAGGAGATTGTTTGGTGTGTTCCTTCTTTGAGGCTCGGGGCGATGCCGCCGTTTGCTGCCGACGGGGAGGAGGACTTGGAGGCATCTTTTGATGAGGAACTGCTGCCGCCGCCGTGGTAGGGCACTTGGTTCCTTGATGAGCCGCTGCCGTCGGAACCAAAAGTGTCGTTGAGGATGGAGGTTACTTTTGTCCCGGTCCCGGTCCCGGCTAGAGAAGGGAACCCCCAGATGGCGAGGGTGATGAAGAAGAAGCAGAGGAAGGGACCGATGATGAGGCGGAGACGCCTCAGGTCCCTGACGAGCATTGTGATGGTTGTGATTTGGTGTTTTTTTTTCCGTCTTCCAATGGATATGTGACAATGGACTGTACGATGAAAAGCCTCAAATGTCAACAAAGGTGAAACTGAGACTACAAGCCGAGCCAGAATGCTCGAATCACGATAACACTGCTGATAATGACAACGACATGCCAAGTGTTGACTACCCGTTGGGGATTGGAGGTCGGTTCCTGTCTGTTTCCCCCAACTCTGCTGCACGCGGAGACCCTGCTTTCTTCCCCAGCGTGCCCCAGGTGGACGTGCAGATCAAGCGGGGGTTGGCAAAAGCTTGGTTGAACGTTGCTCTTTTCATGAGAATCTGTGGAGCCTCGAGGGAAGTATGGAGAGGAGGCTGGTGAGGTGGTCTACACTACTCGTCAGGTCTACAAAACCGACCGTCTGACTAGTGGCGGGCCATCTAGTCAGGGTCATTAATTCGTACACGTTCATTGATTCGTACCGAGCGGGGTACATCCCCCACCCGCCATTTTACTAGCAAATAAAAGTCGCTCATCCGGAGCCAATAATTTTTTTTAGTAATATATCTATATTTTCTAGTCGCATACAATATCGCTTCGACAGCTAGCATATACACGTAAAAGTGAAATATTATTATTTTACATAGCCATTATTACACACTCATTTTAACATACATTACCTTATAATATTAACCTCCTCACAGTCAAAATCCATATATCCTTCCTCCTTCCCCCCCTTATTATCATCGTTATTATTAGGAATAGTTTTATTAATATTATCCTTATCCTCCTTATTGTTATACTTCTTATAATCCTTATACTCTTAATCTTCTTAGTTTATTTATACCTATTATCTATCGTTAGGGTGCCACTAGTCTAGATCTTTCTATATATTTATCGGTTTATTATCTTTAAAAATTTCAGCATCCTTAAACTTTAATTCATCCTTTACAATAGGGGTAATACCCGCTTACTTACTAATTAATTATATTATAATAGCTTTATTTACAACCTTTTTCCTTATTTTATTAAATACTTATAGAGTACGTAGTTTAGGGGAATTACTAGGAGGTTGCTAATATAAGGGTAAAGTTATATTATTTGCGGTCCTTCTACCCCCTAACCGCTTAACCTCCTTATTGATAGTTTTTTACCTTTTAAATTAAAAGTAATACGAGCGGTTAATTCTCTCCTTATAGTATTTATTAATTAGCTAATCCGTATTAGTAAGCCGCGTAATGTATAATTTCGTATACTCCTAGATGTCCTTTCTAAAAGTTTAGAGTATATGTAACTGTAACCTCTTATTAATAATCTACGTCTTTTAGGTAGTAATAAACCCGCTGTCGAGCCTGGCTGCAAGCCAGAGCTATGGACCTTTGACAAGGCCTATAGACCCGCTTACTTACCTGCTCTTCAATTGGCCAGGCTTCCAATACATAGGTGTCCTTCTAGCCCAGCCGGGCTTATAGGACCTCTTCTTCCCCTTTATTAATAATTTCAAGCTTTATTCCACCCCTATTACTGTATATACTTAGTAGGCCCGTAATATATTATTAACCTTCTTTCTTAATACCCTTTAAATTTTTTCATTCGTTTATATAGGAGAGTTACGACCGTTTGTACGATTTCTTTGCTGTGTTCAATTTTTTCGTTTTCTTTGTTCTACTATAGTTTCCATCCCTTAGGCCTAGACTGCTAGCGAAAGGCAATAATAATTTACTATAGCTATTTAATCCTTAATCGACTAAATAGTTGAATTTAAAGTTTCTTAGTTTTTAATTATTCCCCTCATTGTAGCTTTTCCTTATTAGCTTAAGTTAATCTTTCTTTACTTAATTAAATTTTTTAGGGACAGTTCAAATTTCGATACTCAACTCTATACTGTCGAAATAAAATTATATATTAATAATCTAATTATTAGTCATTTAGAGGCCCAATTTTATTATTTTTATTCTAGCCTTTTATTCTTTATGTAAAAGACTCTTTTTTCTTTTAGTTAATAGCTGACGAACCGTTTACTAGCGAAGTTATTATAGAAATTCGATTAATCCTACGGCGAAACGAATTCCAATAAATATATAGCTTAAGAATTCTACGAAACTTTATAAACTTAAAACGAAATAATTAAAATATTCCTCTTCTGTTTTAATAAAATTCTCCATTGAACTTCGAATAATTAAATAGATAATTAAAAGTAGATTTTTCTTATAAGTAATTTACATAAAGAGTGGCGAATAAGGTTAAAGGAAAAAATAGACGTTTTAAAGGGCTTCGAAGTTTTATAAGAATATTTCCGACGTTTAAATAGTAATAATTATTTTGGGTATATTATGGATGCCGGGGATCCTATGTAAATTAGCGCTATAAAGGTATTTAGGATTGTAAGATGTGGTAGTTTATTTAGAATTTCTAGCTCCAACTTTAGGATTATTTTTAAATAATAATAATTTTAATAAAAAAAAGAATTACTATATAGGTTATAATTTTTAAACGTATTAGGTAAAGGAATATTTTATAAACAAAAATAAAGGTAAGGGTAAAGCCGTTATATAGCTATATAGTATATTTATTAAATCGGTTGAGGATTTTAATAATAATAAAATTTACAATAATTATTAATAGAATCCGCTTAAAGAGGTTAAAAATTAGCCCGGAAATATTATAGTTAAGAAAGGGTTAAATAATATATATAGTATATTATTCGTTAAGGGGGCCGGCTAACCTAAACCCGGCTTTATGGATTCCTTAAATTGAATTAACAATTTTTATCATAATTAAGATAAGCTTATAATAAGCTATAGTATATAATTATAATTATTACGAGGAGAAGTTATCTAATTATTATTTTATAAGTATAAATAATAGAAATTATATCAAATTTTTCTATTAAAGTTTCGTTATTTATTTAAGGAGGTTATAAATTATTGACCAGATAGTATAATTATTAGTAACGCTCTAAGTAGAATAGATAGGACGAAGGTTTATACGGATGGATAGGATTAGGCTATATATAGTAGTTTAATTACATATACGTATAATATAGGTAGTAAAGTTAATAGTTTTTAAAGGTTTAATTTTTATAATAGGTGTACAATATACGTGTAGATTTTACGTTGGCTGTAGAAGTTTAATTATTTACATTATTTTATTATTTTATTTTAATTATTCAGGGTATTTAATTTAAGAGTATTTAATAGAGGCTTTACGGTATAGATAAGAGGCCGTTTATTAGATTCTAGAGATCTTCTTTTATATATGATAATTTTTATTGTTGTTTTTGTGCGTGAGGGGGAGTTGGGGGGTAATATAAGGGGTTGGCGCTTAGAGGTCAAACCTAATTGTTAATTAGAATTATGGATTTTTGATAGGGCTTGTAGACCTGTTTCTTTATTTGCCTCCTAATTGGTCAAGCTTTTAGTATATAGGTGTTTTTCTAGCCTAGCCGGGCTTGTAGGACCTTTTCTTCCCCTTTATTAATAACTTTAAGCTCTATTCCACCCCTATTGCCGTATATACCCAGTAGACTCGTGATACCCACTAACCCATCCTCTTAATGCAATTTATTCTTATTAAAGCTCGTAATTATAAATACGCTCGTCTTCTTTCTTAGTAAGAATAATACGCTAATATTCATCTATTGCAATATAAAGATAGCTATTACTAATAATAATTATACCGCTACAACGTAGTAAATAATTAGTATTATACTAATTATGTAATACTTCCTAGACTACTTCCTCTTTCCGTTTATATTTAAATTTAACCTCTTTTATAACTACTAAATTGAGGGTATTACTAGCCTTATTTCGCTTAAATAGTACGTATACAACCGTTAGTAATATAGCGCAATTTCTCTTAATTACAAATGAAAGCCTTTATTTAATATACTTGCTATACTCTTTAATAGAAGGGAGGTTAAGTACTAATATAACTATATTACTCCAATTTATTATAGGTATAGTACGGCCTCTTCCCTTTGGCATAGATAGTATAGTAGGGAACTCCCTTGTTATAGGGATATTGGCTATAATAGGGGGATTATTTAGTATGGCGGCACTATTGGAGGGCTTTCCTAATATATGAAGCCGCGGTCTTTTATTATTTAAACTGAAATTAATAATTCCTTACTTGGTAAAACGAATAATATACTTTCGCCTTTACTTAATATACTCTTTATTTATTAATAAGGTTAACAGATTACGAAGGTTCGAAAGGATTAGGTCAAGGTTAAATAGCTATAAGCCAGTACGCTTCTAAATAAATTATATATTCTTTTTCTTAAATACCTTCTTACGAACTTACTTAAAACTATTGAAAAAATTTAACTTATTATAATTAACATTATTAAATACTATCCTCTTACGTACATTAATTTAATAAAAGTTTTTATAAATTTAAAATATACCGACGTTGAAAGGTTAAAAGAAGTATATTAAATAAAGGGGTAGGAGAAAAAATATAATATTATTTCATTTACATTACTTATGAAATTCGTACGTATAGTAATTACTATAGTTATCCAATACTAAAACTCGCCTTTCTTCCTTATTAAAAGGTTGTAAATTCTCTTCCTAATATTTTAATTAATCTAAAATATATTAATTATTTATATAACTTCGAAAAGAAGTTATAATAATTATCCCATTATTGAAGGAGTTATTGATATGTTTGTATATAATATTAATACTAGGAAATAGGACGAAGGGAGGTATGGTTCGACTAAATGCAAAAATAGACTCGAAGACAATAATAAGAACTCTCTAATTAGGATTAATAGACTATACTTCTATTATCTTAGAGTAAATCTATATATAATATGCCTTATTTAATATACTAATACGAAAGCTAAATTTATTATCGTTCCAAACGTTATTTCGTTTAACCTTGTACCTAGTAATAGTATTATTAAAGAAGTAAAAGACTTTCTCAATATCTATCCGGGTCTATAAAGCCTTATAAACTTATGCTATAGATTTAATATATATATTATAAAATGCTCTTTGCTATAAATATCATCATACCTATTAAATAAAAATATAGGGAATAGCCTTATTATTACTATAGTCGCAATTAAATTTAATGAGCGTAGTAACTATAGAAGCAAGCCTTCCTACCATAATTTTAATATTTAATATTACTAGTTAGTTTAATTAAGATATAAATAATAATAGCACTAACCGACTAATATCTATACGTTCACTTAAGCCTATACAGCTAAATCCTCTTCTTTAATTAATAATATATTATTACTCCTATTATTTACCTTTCAATATATTCTCTTATAGCGATTGACAATTTGTTTGTATGGAGTTTGAAATGCTTTTATTGCATTTACTATAATTTTAAAACCCCCCTTTTAAAATACCTTTACGGCCGTCTAAACTCTCCCCTCTCATAGGAGAAATATCTATGTATTTTCTATAATATCCTCTATATTAGAAGGTATTTCGCTAGGCCTTGTTTTAGAGCGTAAAGAACCGCTAGCAGATCTACGGTTTAGAGGAGGTATAGTAAAGGGGATAGCGAAACTAGGCACTTAATAGGGTTTATAATCGATTAAGATTAATTGTACGTAAAGATAGATATAATAATTGATAATATTAATGTAATAGCGGATTAAAATAAATCGAATATAAAAGGGGGATTTAGGAGTATAAACGGGTGGTGCACATTCAGTGTGTTGGGCAGTGCGGGGAATTGAGCTGAAATTAGCTTATTATAATTAAAAAAATATGCAATTGAACAGATCTACATTGATTTGCTAGCAGATTGGCGGGTGGGGGAAGTACCCCCTGTTTCAGGTACGAATTAATGAACGTGTACGAATCAATGACCCTGACTAGTTGGCCCGCCACTAGTCAGACGGTCGGTTTTGTAGACCTGACGAGTAGTGGTCCTTCAGTGGCGGTGGTGGTGATCTTTGGGGGGGAGTCTGTTCGTTTGCCGTCTGACAGTGACTTGTCCATGAGTGTAGTGTACACTAAGTGGTATATACAGGTACGATCTTCAACAGCAGCACGTGTCGACAACGACGTTCCTCGGCATCTGTCAGGAACAGAACCAGACAAAAAAAGAAAAATGATAAGGTATTCGCCATCTCGATGGCGAGGACCACCAAAATTTCGTCTTCGTGGGGGACCGTGTCATATGCCTTGGACAACAGAAAATGCCGAGCTGGTTGCCCGAGGAAGAAAAAGAGGGTTGGTGTTGCACGACAGTTGAACCGCACCTTGATGATCTGACTAGCCTCGTCCGGAAGTTCCTCCGTCTGTTGGTGGTCTAAGTGGGAATAGCTTCTTTGTGATTTGCTAACTCCTGCATGCGATCGACGTCACTGGGACCAGGGGTCGGGGTTGGGGTGCGACGCTATGGTCGTATTGGACTTGTGATGACGAGAACGAAACTTGGAGTCTGGAAATGGTGATGTCGAGCATCTGTCTGTGCAGCTCGTATTTCACGGGCACTGGATTTGGACTTGTGAGACGGCCTCCGGTACCGGTGTTGCCTGGTTTTGTTTACAACGAAATCGTGTGACTATCCAATCCATTATTGTGGTCGCTGTCTAGATGTACGACTGGTATCAAATCCTAAACTCCTCCCATGTCCTGATCATATCGTACATGTGCAATTCAAGGTAACCTAGTAGGCTGTCCACTTCCCAACACCTGCTTGTAGAGCCAGTTGGGAAAGGTAACGCTGGGCTCGTCAAAGAGCCTCGTCGAGATCTCGGCGACGTACAAGGTCAATGGCAAGAGGATGATATGCGGCAGCAAGAAGGCCATCTCAAGACCAAAGGGTCCAGCCATGGGCAAGGGGAACTTGTTGACCCAGTTGGCCAGCATGGTAAGTTGAGGCTCCCTTCCCCAACCAACAGCCGTGTAGAGTCTGTCGCCAATGGTCCAAAGAATAGGACCATGGACCAGGTAAAGCGCAAAGGAGATGCGACCCAAGTACTGGCAGAAGCGCGTCTCGAAGAATCGCTTGAGCCAGGGGATGCGTGGAACCGAGACCACCAAGAAGACACCAGCCCAAAACAAGTAGAACCACTTGTAGTCGTAGACAGCCTGCGGCTTGAGGAAGGACAGGTAGTACCACCCGGGAGTCTTGGCCAGATCGTTGATGTCCTTGGTGTGAACGGGCACGCCTCCGAGGTAGAAGCTGACTACAAAGAGGGAGTAGAAGATGTGCTTGCTGTATGGCTCGAGCTGAGTGAGGAAGTTGGGCAGCTCATCCTTGATAGCCAACAAGTCCAGATCGTTGAGAAGCATGCCGGCACTGAAGAGGGCGTAGTGAGTTCCGTCGACGATGTAGACAAAGTAGAAGATCAGGAACACCTGGCACCATAGTCTAGCCTTCCTCGTGCATCGCGAAAAGGCTAGCAGGCTGGTGTAGATGACCATGGATCCCTTGAATTCCACAGGGATAGACCACAGATGGAAGTTGTAGCTCAGCCAGGGCTCGCCGCCGAGGTGATAGATGAAGCTGAAATTCTTGACTTCTGCGTACCACCACCAGAACTCGTCGTGGTAGTTGGACTGCGGTTTTGCCGAGTCGACCCAGATGCCGAAGGCATGCCACGAGGTCATGAATAGGAAAGTGGTCGCGATCAGAGGCATGAAGAGACGCAGCCATCGTCGGAATAAGGCAGACGCAAGGTTATCGGCCAGTTTCTCTTGTTCGCCGGCGTGGATCAGGCGCATGGGCTTGACGGAGAGGACGTAGCCCGAGATGACGAAGAAGGTCGCGACGGCATAGTGACCGCCGCCAAAGAAGTTGCGCACAAAGGGAAGGGCGCTGAAGTAATGTTGGCCATCGAAGCCGTAGCCTCTTTCGAAGATGGCGTCGCGCATCAGGCCATGCGACCACAGCTCGTGGTGGTGCCAGTAGACGAGGAAGGCAGCGAAGCCACGCAGGCCGTCGAGGTAAGCGGTTGGTCGCAGCTTTTCGGGGGCATCGAAGTTGGGCATCGCAAAGAGGTTTGTAAGGCGATTGACGAGGCTTGAGGCCATCGAGGAGGGGATCGTAAGGGCGGTCATGATGGCGATGATGGGCTTCCGGAGAAGAGGGAAGCTACACGAGTTCCGGTTGTCATGCCACTTTTCGGGGTCGAGGGAGGTACCGAGGAGGTCGTGGTCGAGATCGCTAGGCATGGACACGGAAGAACGCGACTGGAGCTGAACCCAAGCCGCGTACAAACCTCGAGCTGAGGTTGTGGTTGGTCTGGTTGGTGGGTGGCTTGGAGGGGGGATGTAATGCGCAAAGTCAACAAATGACGGGACGAGAGTGGAATTCTCGCCGAAGTTGATCACCCCTGCCAAGCCCACTGAAGGCGTGCCGTTACAGAGGGTTAAAGCACCTGTCGCGATGGTTGATCCACTGAAGGGTTGCCTTTAGTGGGGAAAGTGGCCGCTAAGAAATGGAAGCCGGCGAATGGAATTTGTTTCGATGTCCGAATTCGGTGCTGTGTGGCTGGTGTTCTGCTTGGCGGGCTGAGGAGGAGGGTTGTTTGTGGCGGGTGTGTGTGGCTTGCTTCTCCAGTTCTTGGCTGAACAATTGAATTCATGTGAAAAGTGACAAGTTCTTCCGTCGGCAAATTCCTCTCCTTTTCAACATCACAAGTTCCAAGCAGAACAAGATGCAAACTTCCTCGGTTCACAACATGGCACCCCCAACTTGATATGCTTCACCACCACAACTTTTGAAAAAGGTGCACACCACCAAGCAAGACCTCATGCAAAGGTCAATTCCTCCGAGGTTGGCGTTTGTCAATCACAAACTCTTGTTGCTGTCGTCGTCACACTCTTCTCTCCTCCGTCCAAGATGGCCCAAGAGGGAACTGATCAGTGCACGTCGGGATACGCTGTGCGGGGGAAGCGCGGATCAAGTGGACAGCAAAGCGGAGGCGAAGGCCTTCAAATCTGGAGAAGTGCGGGTTGTTCGTCGTCTCAACAAGTTCCCGTCCTCGCTTGCAAGATGGAGAACGGAGATGGGCCGGGATGGAGACCAGACCAGGGGACGCCAGGGTTATATGCGGGGGAAATGAGGACTTTTGGGGGTATATCCATGCAGAGGTGTACCGGGATTTACTCCGGCGCTGGCGACACCACCCGACCTGGGGCACGAAAACGAAAAGCAAAAGCAAGATGGCGGCTTTTTCCATGGTCTCGTTTAACACCAGCGTCTGGCCGGCCGCCATAGCCGGGCGGGTGATAGAAAGGGGAACGAAAGAAAAAAAAAACAGCTGAAAAAGCTTGTGATTTAGCTCCGGCATATGTTTACGCTGATGTTACCCTCTAACACCGGGTCCAGCCAATCAGTTGCTTCAATTGGCTGGGTATCATTCCCGCCTGCAGCTTCAATCTTCCTTCACGCTCACACCTATCGCTTTCTGCCGAGATCGTCTCTCGCCTGGGGGGATTGAAGAACCCAACACGGGGAGATGACTCCATTGCCCACTGACGATCGCTGCCAAGTCGTTCCTGATCGTTCCTGAATTCAGAAGCAACCTCCGATGGCACATTTGTGGAGGCCAGGCTGGTCGTCGGAGACAAGGACTGTCTGACTCCTTTGTCATTCGTCTGGCCCAGCCGCCCAGGTTGTCTTCTCTTCTATACCAAGCAGTCAAGGAAGAACCATGGAAGGATTTTGTCTGATTTTTTTTGTTGCCTGTGAGAGAGTAAAAAAAAAAAAAACAGGGTTTAATCAAGTGATCGTGGAGTGGAATACGTGAGCTATCTGCCGTATGAGCAAAAAAGCCCCAAGTTGGCGAGCGGCAGGAAGAGGCCCGGAATGCCCTCACCTGTCGCGGTATGGCCTCCTCTCTCAGCTCCGATGCGGGGCCCCACCCAGTCCCCGGGTTGGAAATGAACACGGCATAGTCGGATTATCCGGGTTGATCCTCACCATCTTCTCCTCCCCTGTCGCCCTGAACGGACCTGGCCACCCAAAACATTTGATATGCCCAGTCCTTCCCCATCCCTCATCCCTCTTATGACTTGATTTGTTTTGTTTTCCTTCTTCTTCCTTGCTTCCTATTCTCTCCACCCGTGTCCCAAACTTCATTCATCCACGGATACGGGGCATTCCACATACACGACAGGTCATACCCTCAGACACAGATTATTATAACCTGCGGTCATGAGCTCTCCACCATTATCTCCAATGTCCCCCTTGTCGCCCAGTCTGGGCGGTATACCTGTCAAGTGGAGGAAGATGTCCGAGACGGGGACGGGGGCCTTTAGGAACCGGATCCCAACACAGCTTCGGCGGTCCCTCCCCCTCTACGCCGTCATCGTCGTCCTCTTCTTCTTCATGCTCAACGCCCACGTCTTCACATTATCCCCATCCGCCAGCAGCATAATAAGCCACCAAACCACACAGAAAGCCCTCAACGGGCAACAAGCCGACGTCCATGGCTTCCCCAAGAAGATCTGGCAATCCTGGAAGGTCGACCCCTACAACATGGCCACGCGCGACCTCGACACCGCCAAGACCTGGACCACCAAAAACCCAGGCTACCGCTACGAGGTTTTGACGGATAACAACGACATGGTCTACGTGGAAGAGCAATACGGTCCCCAGGGGATCAACCGCCCGGACATCATCGACTTCTACCGCGCCGTCAACATCTCCATCATCAAAGCCGACTTGCTCCGGTACCTCATCATGTACGCCGAAGGCGGCGTCTACGCCGACATCGACGTCGAGGATCTCCGGCCCATCAAGCGTTTCGTGCCCGAACGCTACTGGGACTCGCTCTCCGAAATCGACATGGTAGTCGGCATCGAGATCGACCAGCCCGAATTCAAAGACCACCCAATCTTGGGCAGCAAATGCATGTCCTTCTGCCAATGGACATTCACGTGCAAGCCTCGTTTGCCCGTAATGCTGAACCTAGTCGAAAACATCATGACCTGGCTCAACTCCCTCGCTGCAAAACAACAAGTCCACCTCTCGGAACTCCAACTCGACTTTGACGAAGTCATCTCCGGCACCGGGCCGTCGGCATTCACCATCGCTTTGCTGAAAGAAATGAACCGCATCTCTCCTCAAGGCCAAAAGGAAATAACCTGGGACAATTTCCACGCCATGGACGAATCCAAAGTCGTTTCCCGCGTCTTGGTCTTAGACGTCGAAGCCTTCGCCGCCGGCCAGGGGCACTCCGACTCGGGTAACCACAACGCCCGCGGCGCGCTCGTCAAACACCACTACCACGCCAGCAACTGGCCCTCCAAACACCCGCGCTACGCACACCCCGTGTACGGCGAGGTCGAGAGATGTAATTGGGACTTGGCCTGCGTGCAGAAGTGGGATCACGACGTCGAAGCTTACAAGTCTCTTTCCATTGAAGAACAAAATAAAATCAAGGAGTTGAGGAGGATAGAACTCGAAAAACAGCGCGAGCAGCAACTGAAGGAACAGGAGCAGGCGATCAGGCTGGAGCAATTTGGCGAGGCGGTGAGGAAGGCGGAGGAGGAGCAGAAGAGACGGGATGAGTTGGAACGGGAGATGAAAGAGAGGATGAGGGTCGAGGATCAGGCGCTGAAGCCGCTGCATCCGGAGCAGGCCGGTAGTGACGAGAAGAAAGAGGGCGAGGGCTTGATTATGTTTGGGGGACGGCCGGTGCCGGGGCAGGAGAAGAAGCCGCAGGAGAAGGAGCAGCACCAGGCGGATGGTGAGGAGAAGCGAAAGGAGCAGAATGGGCAGCAGCCGGTGTTTGGGGAGCCGGCGCCTGCTCAGGGGCCTTTTGGCGGGCTGTGACGGAGTGATGTTGATGGGATCAAGTGGATATGGTTGCATGTTATGGTGTTTTGGGTTTGCTTTTACTTTGGTTTCTGGTAAATACTTTCATCGCCTGTACGAATGGTGTGTACGATGGTGTGCGGATGCACGCAATGGGAGGAACTGAATGCGGTATGTAGCTGTATGAAGTACCGTATGAACTCGGGCCGTTCGTTTTTAGGTTCCAGGGAAATCAGGCATAATCAGTACACTTGAGGCACCTCTAGCATTGCAGACTGCTCGAATCTCTTCCACAACCCAACCCCTAAGGCACCTAATATATAAATTCTGTCAGTTAGGCCCTGTTAGCTAAAAACGAATGGCCCGAGTCTATACGGTATGAAGCATGATTTTGTCACACCCTTTGCTGTTCGCTTGTTGCTTGCTACATTTGATTTCTCTCTGCGTTTCTTCCCTCTTCTGCCAGTCAATTTGTCTGCTCGTCTGTCGCTTCCTCTTGCGATCGCTGTTTTGCTCTTTTCCTACAGTCGTTCTTTCCTGCAGTCAACTGAAGCTATCGCCAAGTCTTGGTGCCCAGGGTACCCCCCTCTGCCCCAGCTCTGGGCGTGCACGGGAATCTCCGACACTCTGCATCCGCTGCGACTTCCTTTCCTGATTCGTTCTTTAAACCTCGGTACGACGTTTCGTGCATTTTCGGCGCATGTGAAGATCGTCCCTGGTGCTTAACCGAGATGGCCGGCGACGCGATGTGAGCGCGGCGGTTTGTCTGTTTGGGGTTTGGTCTTGTGAACTTGCAAGAGAAGGGTGTGGTTGGCGATGATGTCATGCTTCAGGTTTTGGAGTTTGGGAATTTGGAAATGCTCGCCGGTCTGGACTTACGCTCGTGGAAGAGAAGAAGATGGCCGCTAGTGTTTCGTGAGATGATTGTGAAGATGGAGGGTGTTATCCGTGAACTCAAGGAAACACACCGGATTTGCAACCAACAAAGCGATTGGGAAACGTTATCGCCGTCGCAAACAGCAAAGATTCAAGACAACTCACAGGCGGATGACGGTATAAAAGCCCCGGGCAGTTATCTTCATGTGTCTCCGACGGTTGTACTGTGTGTTTCTGTCCCGGTTTCGTTAATGAGTAGTATTCCAGTCCGTTAATCCCAAGCGAGAGAGCCTGCCATCGTAGAGGCACGACAAGACGTCTGACTTGCGCTCCAGTCCCTTAAGTATACGGTCGTAGATAGCAATGACCAGACCCTCAGAGTGTCTGTTGACTGGTCGTGTGAGACACGTCTAAGACCAGAAAAAGGTCCTTGCGAGACGAGGTGGCTGTGGCGTAGTTTGCCGGATCCCTTACCCCAGGATCAAGGCTGCTCAGTTGGGCAATAACCACGATGTCGTTGGAGGACTCAAGCAGTTTCTGTCAGCATGACGGCTCGACGAATAAGACTTGAACCACACCTTCGGGGGTGTCCTACTGAGTGTATTCCAAACAAAACGTCGAGCCATCAGCCATTGCACATGCCCTCGAGGCAGTCATCGCCCTCTTGAGTCTCCTCAACCACAACGTCGGATCTAGGAGAACTGGCTCGAGACAAACAAGAAGCGAAGGGTGAATGTCTGCCATGTACTAGTGGGACTGGAGCTCTCAACGTGGTCCCTCTTTATCAGCCGCGCTGGACTTCGGGTGATGGATATGCGGTCGTTGCAGGGCCTGGAGAATAGCAAGATCGGAATGTACGATGGGGGCAAGATATCGTGCGGTGCGTTCGGCCCATGCCTGGAGTCAAGATCTCGAAAGGTTAGCTGCTTGTCTTCTACCTCGAGATGATCCGCTTCGAAGTCCTTGCTGGGTTTTTCTAGTGCATACCTCTACGCCGTCACAATTTCCGCGCTCGGCTGCCGGTGTCCTGAAGAACATGCAGACTACAAAACCCGAAGATGGCTATCCGTCCTCAATCTGACAGGGCGCGCTCTGTTTGTGTCATCGAAGCTGGAGTCAGATTTGGCAATCGGGAGTAAAAAGGGCACAAGGACCGCGCCAGAGGGACTTGGAAATTCTTCAGGTAAACGGAATGACTGCCTGCCGCGCACTGGTACAGGTCTCGTGTTGGGAGTTGCATGAGTGCATGTCGGGAAGGGGCGATGCGTCCGTCGCATCCTGGCCGCACAACGGGAGAACCCACTGTCCGGCGCAACTGCCTTTGTGTCGCCCGAGGGACGACCTGGACCGGTCGCGCCTGCTTTCGTCACCGCCCGGCCAAGAGAAACCATTTCAACCTTGACTCTGATGGCGCATGCCGACTGCCCCGACTTTCAGAGAGCCGCGAAGTCGGATGTCTTACGGCGAAATTCACCGAACCTCGTTCGACCGCCCTCAGAGACGCCCACTGTGATTCCCATCCACGAGACCACGTCTATCCCCTGAAGAGCCAATGTCCAGGCCCCCAACGATCGCTCGACAACATGGAAGGTCGCCTTCATCTTCGAGCGGAATTGCTACGGCCAGACGGCGAACCCACGCTGAACCCAAAACGAACAAGCACACTCCGAACCGAAGCCGACAGCGAACATTCTATACCCCTTAATCGCTCGCCAAAGTCCTCAAAACGTTGTTGACGCAGCACGACCTCAACCGGCTCTGTCCCCTCCTACCGCCTGCTCGTCTATTCGTTTAGAACCCGTTCTCATGTCAAGGCCAAGTCAAGTCCCTCGTTTCGGGCGACCTCGTGGAAGCCGCCCACGAAAGGCTCGCTGCAGTCGAGAGGTGGCCAGCTTGGACTTGGTGTTACTGCTATTGCAACAGTACATAATATTGGACCTGACTGGATGTGGTAAGCATCTTCAAGGTTGGACAGAGTGGCAATAACATCTTGCTGATTAGAGGACGGAAGTAGGGTCATAGAGCTTATACCATTCTGGGCACCATTCGAGCGTCCTGTCGCACCATCAAAGAAAGGAGAACATCGCGACAATTCGTTCAAGACTCGGCGGCGAGGGAAATACCACATCTATGTACACCCGCTTCAAACCATCCTCCTACCCGATGATGCCATTCTTCCACCGTGGGGGACAGGCAATATCCAATGCATAGAAAGAGCAACAAAGAAGGAAACAGACCTCCACCACATTACATGCTGTTTCAAACCTCCGGGACTAGCCCGGCCGAGGCACAGGCTGTCGATATTGATGTAGTCGAGGCTTTCATCGCCGCCGCCGCTGAAATTCCTCCAAGGTCGAAATGGTCAATGCCGGCACCACGACGACGTCACAGGAGAGCAATGCCGAGGCCGCAAGTGGAAGCTGGGCGCTCGGAAGTGCCTGAACCACCTCCAGAACCGTATTTCGCCCAGAATGAAGGTCGAAATCCTTTTTCGGGACATCGAAGGCCACGGAACCTGTTCTGGTGATTACGTATGGATGGAGACTGGGACGTCATTTACGTCGAGTACAATTACGGTCAGCTGTGGTCTGGAAGCCCGAGGCAGAAATGCTTTGAACATCTTAGGAACAAGCAAAGCAGGAAGAATCGTCAACACAAGTATAGTGACCGCCAGTAAACAGGATAAGAAACGACCACTTGCGAAGAGCACTGAGTCTACGTAACCAAGGATTCCGCCGAGGTTATTGAGCTCGGCTGGATGTCTACAACCTCGAGGAAGTGAACGAAACATCAGGAAGGAAGTTGGAAATGGGGAGTTACAAAAGATGACTAGAGGTATTGTGTGTACTGACAAAGGGGAATTTAACAACAGGCTTGTTGATCATGACTGTGGATAAACAAGCAGGGAACAGAAGGTATGTGGCGACCTCAAGGAGTCATAATTCGGACTTCCAATGCGATTGTGAATCAATGATGGAAATGTCACTGACCAGATCTTGTATAAAGAGACAGATCTAGTGCCACGGCTCCCAGTCCTCTTTTCCTCATCACCACCACCGCATTGATAGAGCATCAAGCACCAACGTCAAAACGTCGCCCTGATAAACATTACACAAACAATATGCCAGATCCACGCCATCCAGATCGCATCAATGCAGCCAGAGTTATAACAGCAGCAGAACTGTTCCCGTCGTTCTTTCCGTCAACATCTTCGGAGCACCGGGCGGAGAGAAACCGAACAGAGGCGCCGCCATACACCTTTCGCCCTACCGCGGGAGAGACTACAGTTGGCTTCAACCGCGACACCTTGGAAGATCCCCCTGGGTACTCGCCTCCCGTGCCGACGACCTGTGACCAAACCCACGAAGAACGGAGACGTGATGAGCTTCCCGCTGGAAATGCCACGCCGGCTACACAAGTACATATACAGGCTCGGCCATCAGGCATACCTCCCCCTCCATACGTGTCACTTCCTCAACCGGCCTCGACTACGGAGACACGGGCTAGTCGGACCACCTCCCAAGCTGGCGAGACAAATGGGAGTGCGCATCTGCGGACAGGACTAAATAGGTGGAATATGCGGGGACATTAAGCGTGGCGTTGGTTGAGGCAGATGATGATGTGGAGGAATCAACAGGTTATCATAAGACGTTTAAAACATCACCGATGGCAAGGTAGCGTGGGAGTGGTTCCCTTATATATTATTCCCACTTGCTTTTCTTGAACTTGCTCTTCCCTCCATCCTCTCGTGACGGAAGCAAGCACCTAACGAGCCAGGCAGGCTGGGGAGGCGTAGCGAAACCATTGATTCGCAACGACCACCACCCCTGAGGGATGTAGTTGCCTTTTACCTTCCTTCCACTCGCTGTCAAGCCTACTACCAAAGGCACATGTCACGAATCCTTCAGTCATGCCACGCAGGGTTTCAAAATCTTAGTCAAGCGATCCGTCATGAAGTAATCCGACGCGCGATGGCCGGCACCTGGTCCTGTGGCAACTGCTACCACGAAGCGGACAACGGTGCTGGAAAGCACTGCCAGAGATGCACCCAGCTTGGAAACACTTCCACTGTGTGTGAAGTGTTCTCAGAATCACCAACATCTTCCGGACGCTACCAGGTACATTGAATGCCTGGAGAATAAGCCTAGCCCCCAACGAAGGAGGGTCATGCACGGCATCCTTCACCTAGGTGGATATTATTGTAGCAGTTGCTACATCCGTGAAGCACCCGAACTTAGACATTCATGCCCGCGATGCATCAAACTCAAATTAGACTCTGATTTCTCCTCCTCGGGAACCTCAGGGGGCGACACCCCACAGGAGGGAGGAGACGTAGCTTGTCAATCAGCAAAAGACGGCCCTCCCCCGAGCCCTCCCACCCCAGCAACCCCGAGCCCTACAGCTCAGAGCCGCCTCCGATGGGTGGCCACCCCGACATGGTAAACGGGCGGGTATACTGTATTGAAGTCAGGCAAAGGCACTGTGACTCAGAACCAAGAGGGAGGAACGGATGGATGGCTTCCACTGGGTTCTGTGGACACACTATCGCGTCAAAGGAAGCACGGAATTTGCTTCGTCCCAACTAGAGCGTTTGCTGTGTTATTCAGGCTGGTCCCTCACGCGGGAAATACTCGTTCTATCTGCCAGAAAGTTTTCGTTTGGAAGAAAACCGCAAGCAGTTGGTTTAGCCGCAGCAAGAACACACCAAACTTTGAGTAGATTGCTGCTGTCATCGAAGGGACTGCTCACAGTATAGACAACTTTAGCAGCTGCTAAGGAGAGGGTCTGGACATTCAGGAAGGTGGAGGGACTCAAGATGAGAGGAAGGCACAAGTCTGTGATGCCAGTGAAGGAACAATAGCAAACCGAGCTGCAGTGGATCACGAAGTTTCGTTTGGGTCATGCCTCTCCGTGAACTTGACGGCCTCAGGGGAGAAATGGCCCGTTGACAATGCTGCTTAACTTCAGATGAGAAAGGCTTGTGAATATGGCTGCAGCTGGCAGTGTTTCATCTGTTCCTCCCCTCCTGTCCATGTCGTCTGAATAAGATTTCAGTGAAGTCCATGACCCATTCACCTGAGATTGGGAACTCGTCGTAGTGGGTCACCTCTGTAGTATTTATACCCCTCCTGCTTGATTGCAATCCTCCTCTTTCTCCTTCCACCACTCAACTCAGGAAGATCAGCAAAAGCAGATTCAAGATCCTTTGACGCAATCTTCACACACGCTTTACCCAACTTCTATATTCCTCTATAAAACAACAACCGTCACCATGGGACTCCCATTCTACCGTTCCCCCTCAAGCGAGGCCCTTCGCCGTCAGGCCGCAGACCAAGCGGCAAACCAACAACAGCAACCCGACCCGCGCCGCGCAAGGTCCGGCGCCCCTCCCCCTCCTCTCCGTCGCGAAGATGCCCAGCGGCTCTTCCCCCAAACCACCTCCGAGGCTGCGACAGGTAGTCAAGAGCGGCCTATCGACCTAACCCGCCGCGCCCTCGAAGTCGAGGCTCAACGTCGCCCTGCTCCCCCTCCCCGCCTTGACGCCCCTATTCCGTCAACAGAGGACGAAGAGAGTGACGCGGCGGCAAGTGCCGCTTTGTACAGATACAGCCGCACACGCTTCGACTCCAGCGAGTTGGCCACCCCCGCCGACGAGGAAGAACTCCGCCTCCCGGACTACGGCACTCCGGATGTCGACTGGTCGACTCCCGAGATTGAGGCTGCCAGTACCCATCCCCGCCCTGCCCAGTCCTCACCTCCCCCTCCCCAGCCGCAGCAGCGCCAGCAACAACCAGAGGCAGGCCCATCCCAAGCCGGCACAGGACAGCAAGAGCGACAGGCAAGCGGCGGTCGCGAGACATTCGTCCAGGTCACCGTGGACGAGGGTCGGGGCCCACTGGTCCAAGTTCGGGGCGGAGAAGGACAATCTATTCCTCCCTCGCGTCGTCTCCCTCTTCCTCGTCCCTCTGACGCGACGATCCGAGGTCCTCGTCGGCAGAGGCTGGGACAGTCAAGCGCGTCGAGCCAAGGCACCAGCAGTCAGTCGAGCAGGAGCAGTGGAAGCCGTTCCCCTGTTTGAAGGTCTGGGCACTAGATCGCGGACGGAGGCTTGGATCCAGAGGTAGACAACAGATTTGGAGGCAGAAGGTGTTGGTGTTCGAAGGGACTCCGGGTTTGTTGTCGATGATCTTATCGGGTTTGTCTTTGGACGGTTTTCCGGCTTCGAAATTGGCAGGCGTTTCAGTAAATCGGTTGCAGAGGAGTAGAGCAAACAGGGACAGGGTCATACTTTTCTGGACGGCATGGAGCGATATGGGTAGCAGGCAGGGCTTCATAGGTACTAAGGATTTTGATATCTTGATGGGCTTGTCTAGAAAGTTCACAGGAGTCAGGCGCTTATTGACGGGAACTGTTAGGGACAAGGAAGGATATACCCAGAGACAGTTATTTCAGGTATTACCATTGAGGAGAATGGATATCGCCATCGACAAGATACATGATGTCTGCGCCAGTCGTGACCAACCCAAATGCAAGTATTGTACAGACCCCTGTGTTCATTCCATACCGCTGAGAATTCTCCTTCTTTCCTTCTGTCGATTTTCGATTACTTCCACCTGTTTTGCCCATCATTTATCAGGTTTGCCTTGCATTGTTTCACATGGTCAAGTTTGGAATGCCGACATTCTCATGCAGTTTCATCAACAGCGGGCATGGAGGGCTATCCGACTGCCCCAAAACATGCAGTGATTATGTGCAGCCCGCAGCGACACAGTCTCCGTCGGAGGACAGATTCCCTCAACGTACGAGTATTTATACCTAGCGTGGCCCCCGGATGACCCAATTGTTCTTCCCCGTCTCTTCTTCTCTTCAACCAAGCCATCAATCAAACATCTCCCACCCCCCACCAATGTTCTCCTTCGTCTCACTCTTACAAGGTTGGAGGGTTTGCGAATCCCTATCCTGTCACTCAACTACGGATTTAGTTTTTCCTGTTGTTTTAGACGTACTGCTCATATTGCTCCTAATCGCCCGATTTTCTCCCGATCCAAACAAATTCCCCTTTGCCACCAATGACATGGGCCTTCCGTTTTACAGGAGCCCGTCTCAACGCGCGCAGGAGTGGGACCTCACCAAACTCGATCCCAAAACGAGAGCAACACCCGCAATCACCCTAGAGGATCCTTCCATTTAGGAGGCCATATTACCCGACACCATAAAGTCCTGTAAGTAATTCAGAATCCAACTCTCGCAGGATGCCTTCTTATTGGTGTATCAGCCGCTGACCAAAGGACACAGGTACAAACAAGAAAAGAGAATGATACTACTACAGTTCTACGCTACCAACATTGGGGAGGGGATCTTTGAAATAATCGGTCTTGGAAAAGAACCAGATAGGTGAGAGCTTCCAAGGTCATTCAATCATCAAGCTAGTGGTAGCCAATTGATATCTTGGTGCTATTCACATCCATTTTTAAATGCTCTCTTTAGCAGTACAATGTGACATGATATGACCGTTGTTGCTTCTTGTGCTATAGCCGGGCACTGATATTGAGAACCTGAGTGAACTATCAAGACAGTGAATGGCAGGACTGTGAAGTTCATGTTTTCAGGCTCGTGTTCAGATGAAAAAGACCTTGGAAAGTGAATTTGAACCTAAAACCTTGAATCCTCACGGACCTCCATAAAATCGTCAACAACATGGGACCGGTTACGATTTCCTCCTTTCTCTCTCACAACATCCGCACGCACCACTTACGCACATCAGAAGCACATCACATCTCACCACCAAGCAAAGAGTCTTCTCCTACAAAAGCAAGAGCTCAAAAGCAAAGATACCTGCCGAAAGACATGGAACGAACGCTCGTCGCTCCAGACAAGCCACCAACAACCCACCTCCCTCGCTTCGCCTACAAGACGCGGTTATCCACGAGACAGTCACCGACGGCGGACAAATTGTTGACTTCGGTATTTACACCGATCAGGTAAACGATATTCTCAGTCGTTTGTTCGGTGACCCACCAATCCCCCGTCCTCGTCATCACCGTCGTGGTACGTTCAATCCTCCTCTTCCAATGCTCAATAAGCCGTACTAACTTCCTGTCGCTCGCTAGCGGTAGTTCCTGTTCAACCCAACATGAACCTCCCCTATCCCGTGATCCCTTTTCGGCGTAGAAATCCCGAGGAAGTGGATACACTTCCTCTCTACACCAAGCTTCCTGGCGTTAGCGAGACGACTGTCGATATCTCGCCCTCGGAGCAGTCCGAGGTGCTTCCCGAGTACTCCCAGGCCAAACAAGAGGAAAGGAAAGAAGAAGGCGAAGACAAGGGCCCGTCGAATGGAGGTACGTCTACTCCGGCTAGCTGCTCTTAGATCTGTTCCAGTATGACGTTTCGAGGTTGGACTTATACTGACTGTTGCCTAGAATCTCAAGTGTGAAGCAAACAAAGATCCCTCGAGGCAGAAGGACACAGGCCTCAAAGGTGACAACTATATCATTATTCCACATCATCTGACTGTGTGGAGGAATCGTGCCTGATGATGACAAGGCACGAAAAGATAATTCATGAATGCATCATCGGTATGATCGGTTGGGGTAACGTTCATATACCAGTAGTTAAAAGTTCTTACAGTAGTTAAAAGTTCTTACAGTCTCTACTCGTTATAGTAATTTGTTGTTAGCTTCTCATCCATGCATTTGCCATGATTCCCAACTAAGGTATGAAACCGTTCTGTGAAACTTGATGTGGCATGAAGAAACCCTTTCCGTGTGCACTCAAGGCAATCGATGGAAATTGACCCGTTTTTGGGGGGGGCAAGACGACCTGCAATGACCCCGGCTGAAATCTACACGCATACTCCCTCATCCAAGACACTCGACAATATCTTTTTACCAACGCCTAATGTCTGCTTCAAACTTGGTAGAGTCCAAGGAAAGTTCTCACAAAAATCCCGACTAGGAGGTATCTTACCTGTAACGTACTTTGGTTGGTACCCGTGATCTCCTCGACCAAGGTCTCTGCTATGGAGCCGTTGCTCTGGAGACCACAACCTCAAAACCCCTGGTGACGCGGGGATCTGAATAAACTGCCATGAATGTGAATGGCAGGACTGTTCAGTGAGGTACTCAGTGTTCAAACCTGGCGAACGTGGAAAATGAACCAGAACCTTGAACGTCAAGGACGTCCATAAAACCGTCGACATGATGGGACCAACTGCGATCTTCTTCTTTCTCTCAACAATTGCGCGCACACTTGCACATATTAAACCTATCATACAAACGCACCGAACAAGTCTTTCCGAACACCCACCAAAATGCCTTTCACACGCACAACTGCTCGCCGCTCTCGCCCTAGGGCCAACAACCAGCCTCCCACGTTGCGCCGCGAAAACGCCGAAGTAATTTACGAGACAGTTGACGACGTCGACTTGTCGGGGGGAGTCGACCAGCTCCTCACATTCTTCAGTCAGACCTACGATGGTCAGCGGCACTCAGTCAACACTGCCACCAGCCGCCCCTACCAAGTCGCTCCTGCCACCCACGTTGTAAACGGTCGGCGCCTCGAACCCGAGCCGCAACTTCCCGTTTATACAATGAACCCCAGATCCAATGAGATGACCGTGGATGCCACACCTTCGGAGTCGCTCCCAACCTATGCCGAGACAAGCAAGGCGCAAGGAAAGAGCCAGGACGACAAGGAAGGAGGTATGTCTACGAGCTACTCCCACGATTGCAGCGCCAAACTCGTACTAATACCTATCTATCTAATCCCTCCCCGCTCTCAGTAAGAGTACCGATTTCTAGGCGCATTGCCCCCATGAAGTTTTGTAAGTACCTAGGTATCTTCCTCATCATGTCTAGTCCCCTTCAGTGTCGTTCGTCTTGTCACAGTCGCTAATTTCACTCAACAGGTTCACATAGAAGAAGCTGGCAGCGAATCAATCCATAATGAAGGTGCATTTTCCGTCAGGGTCGGGCGCAAGGGGTGGGCAAGAACGATCAGGTCTTGGAGTTGAGGGGTCCTCTGTTACGATCCGATCAGAAGCCCCTTATGTAAGCTAGATAGATTGACCAATAAGCGACAACCCGTACCTAGGGTCCCGTTGTCCCGAGAATACGGGACTACGGGACCAGGTTACATTGGGTGTCCCGGAGTCCCGAGAACACGGGACTACGGGACCAGGTTACATGGGGTGTCCCGTGGTCCCGAGATCGCGGGACTACGGGACGGGTTTGAAGACCAGTATATAAGAAGGCCGCTTCCCGGCCTTCGTTATTCTGGCTCTTCAGCAAGCAACCAACTGATACAATCGACCAGTACCTTTTGGCTACTACTACCGTTATTCCTATTCTTATTTCCCAGCGATATACTCCTGTGCTTGTAACGGTTCGTCACATCCTCAGGGTAATGGAAGTATCAGGGCAATAATCTTTACCTCCACAATACGAAACCATACTACCTGTCCACGTATTATTAATGACATTTCCTTGTTACATCCCTCGCGAAAGTTACCTCTACACAAGCCACAGGATAGACGCCTCCTCTTTGTGGCGAGATGGGGCGTCGCCTTTCTCCTAGTAATCTGCATGTTCATCTCCTTCTAAAGTATATACCACCTACTTCGCGAATTGCATCATTGTTCAATCCGTCTTGTTCATAGTTCATACCACCTGAAATATCCATCGGTAGCCACAACTAGTTGCCTAGGCAACCATACCTCTACTCAACAGTGAATGGCACGACTGTTCAAGGTCCAACCCTTTAGATCACGACTGTTCGATGTCCACACCTCGAGATCAGGACTGTTCAGCGTCTAAACCTTCAAACCTGGCGACCCTGGAAACGAACCTGGAGTCTGCGACACTGTCCCTCGTGTCCATATATGTCCAATCCGCCGACACCATAGCACAATCTCTCACTTCCATCCTACATCGCAAAACAATTTGCACGATTTGCACGTCTACCACGATCAAAGTCGCACCCGACCCGAATACCAAACATCAACTTTCCGTCTTCATCACCAAAAGAAGCACAGCAATGTCCCAGTCCAACAACCCCCGCCGCTCGCAACTGCGCGACAACCACCAGCGCCAGCGGCGTCTCCAGCTCGTCCCACCCGTGTCCCTCGACCCCCAGCCTCCCCACCCTCGCGTCCAGCGACAAGACGCGACGGTCAGGTCCCCCATCCTCGAAGCAATTGCCGCCGAAGTCGAGGAAGCCAGGTGGGCGGCACTCGCCAACCAATACATGGCGTTATTCGACCAAAACGACAGACCCGGCACCGGGGCTCGCGCGCACGCTTTCTTTGATGCTCTCGCCGGCGACGATCATTCCTTGGCCGAGTTGATCGGCCGTCAAATTCGGGAGCTGATTGAGCGCGACCCCGTCTTGTATATGTGGCGCGACCATGAGGATGGCATTGTGAACCCGCCGCCGCCGTACACGGCGCATCCGACAAAGGGCGAGATTACCGTTGAGATGTCTCCGGAGGTGGTTCTGCCGGAATACACTCCTCCCTACACTCCGTTCGGGCAGGATCTGAAGTGGCAGACCGAGGCCGAAGATGAGGAGGATGAAAGCGAGGTGATGGAAGACGACGAGGAGGCTGCATCACAAGCAATCTTCTTCCTCCTGGCCTTCATCCTATTGGCATGTTTGTCCTATTGGCATACTTCCTGCCAGTAGACTTCGTCCTACTAGTTGTCCTCCTAGTTACCTTTATTCTAGGAGATATCCTCGTGCTCGCCGCTTAAAGGTACGTACCTTATTGAAGACACTCGCCGGATTATGATCGATGGAATTCATGCTAACAATTCTCTTGAGAATCAGGTCTCTAACACGGAGTCATGGAGTTTGACATGACCCAAGCGTGCTTCAACCACAATGATTGTAAGTATACATTTACCCTTGTTTCTCGTGAGTTGACAACTGCTAATCAGAAGCATAGGTTGCTATACCAAACCCTGTTGCTACCAAAGATACCGTACTTTGGGCTGTTCCGAACATGGCGCTGTACAGGAAGGGGTGAAAAGGAAGGGTGGACTCCAGTCAGCAAGATGGGGATGAACAAGTCGAATGAACGATTTCATGTCAAACTAGGAATTGGGCCTTGGCTGCGCGGGTGAACCTTCTGTCCTCCTTATAGTATCTTCATTTGGGGAAGGAACTGGGCGTAAAATACAAGCTACATGTACATCTATCATCGCGAACGGCCCTACCTTCCGTAATTGAACTGCTACCGCTCTCATCGATTCCTTCATTGTGATCATCTGGCTAGGCTTTCCCATGTTTATGAGCTCATTGAGACGGGAATGACCCTCTCACGTCATTGCTCCTTGCCCGGATACACCGTGAATAAACGTCAGGAGTACCACCTATAACCTGAATATAGTTGCATAGGAAGAACCTCTCTCGCCGGTGCTTACTCGAGCCATTAATCATCAGCTATAGTTTACAAATTAGGGACAACTCTACCCAATACAACGGAAAGAAGACTTTTTAAGTCGGTACACTTCCAACTAGACCCGCCATTATAGAAACTGTTATAGCGGGGTGGAATACGGCCTTTAGTAGTCAAACCTGGGAGCTGGCAATAAACCTTAACGAACCGCAAACCTGGATCTCTTCACGCGACCCTAGAGAGGAGCTTTTATGACAGAATATGCCCGACTCGAGTTTCCTGTCCCCGTCCCTTCCTCCATCCAACATGTCAGAACACCACCTCCACACATCAACTCAACTTCTACATCAGAAAGATAAGACAAAATGTCTTCCCCATCTAATAACCCCCACCGCTCTCAACCGCGCCAAAACCAGCCATCCCGTTTACACCGTCAAACCGCCGCGGTCGGCGCACCCGAAGTCGCCGTCGAACAAGCACACATAGAAGCCGCCAGACTAGCCGCAATCACAAACCAAGTAATGGCCATCTTCGACCCAAACCGCCTTATGGAATCGATGGACGCTGCGTTGAGGACAATCAGCGCTGCCGCCGGTGGCCACCCTGCCACGGCTAGGGCGATCGCGCGGCACATTGCTGATGAGAACGATCGCAATCCCCGGCTTTGGGCGCGCCGGTGCGGTCCCGAAGATGGGATTCCCAATCCTCCCCCGCCGTACTCGGCTTTGCCCAGCAAGGGAGAGGTCACGGTCGATTTGTCGCTGCCTGAGCCCGAGTATACTCCTCGCTATACTCTGTATGCACAAGGTCAGAAGAGGAAGCGCGAGGAGGGGGATAACTTGGAGGAAGATGGCGAGGAGGAAAACAACTCCAATTAGAAGTACGTATCCAAAAAAGATGGGTGGCATTGTTATCAACGAAATCCTAGCTAACTGTCAGACCATAATTAGGCCTGAAGCATAAGGTAGAGACGAAGTTATTTGTGACCCAGGCGAGCCTCAACTTTACGATGTTGTAAGTTTAGAACATCTACCATTGTTTGTCACCTCTTGGTTGTTGACAGTTGCTAATCATCACTCAATACATAGGTTGCTCAAGCAAGGTCGACTGCCCTCGAAGATTGTCCGCGCCGACTCGAGAAGAGCACTTTCCAGGAAGGAGTCAGGAGCCGAAATGCATTGATCAGGATTGGGATAATGTATCAACCGTGTTCTGTCGGGCTAGCAATTGCGTGTTCAGGGAGTAGTTCTTGCCTTTTGTTGTTCTAAACGCGTCGTCATTCAAGGAAGGAGCTAGTACCAAAGCACAAGCTACCGGGACACTCTGTAATATCTGTATCAGTCACGTCTCCGCGCTTGAAAGATAAATGTTTGTCGCATCTTAAAGGTGATTTTGAACTGTTCTCTTGTTTTAGGGTACTAATCTGACTTGATTTTTCGTCAAAACTTGCCATATCTGGGATGTGACATTCTAGGCATCAGGACATACCTGATACCTTTACTTTATATATGAGAAGATAAGTGAGAAAATAACACCACATCGCTTCTAAAATAAAGAAACTCAACAGCCTTATTGACCTCTGCTCGGTCGAGAAGGGAGAACTGAGGCATCTCTTTTGGTGGGTCGAGAGGGGTCTGTCAGACGGAGATGAGTACACCTGACTTGCCAAGACTCTCTCGTTTCCACTTTACAACCAACAACCTAACCCGATTAAATAACTTACACGTCCGGCACGATCAAAGTCGTACCCGACCACAATACCGAAGTTCAGCAAATCCTCACATCTGCTCCGTCAAGCAAGAAAAGACCAACAATGTCGTCCCCGTCTAGCAACTCGCGCCAATCTCAAATGCGCAATAACCAACCTCCCTGCCTCCAGTGACAAGGCCCGACAGTCAGGGCATCCGCCGCATCCAGATCCCAAAGCATCGCGGAGGAAGCAGCCAGGCTCACGGCCGTCACGAACCAAGTCATCGCGACCTTCAATCGTAACGAAGGAGCCAGGATCCCCGCAGTTACGAACCAGGCCATGGCGACCTTCGATCCAAACAACTTCATCGAATCCATGGACGCCGCCTTGAATGCCATGAGAGCTGTCGCCGGTGGTGAGCCTCACAGGGTAAGGAGAATAAGGAGAATCGCTCATGATATTGCCAACGTGTATGAGCGCAATTCCCATTTGTCCAGGGGGCGCCGCCACCCGCGCAATCCCGAAAATGGGATTCCCAACCCACCGCCCCCGTACACGGCGCTACCATCGAAGGGTGAAGTTACAATCGAGATGGCTTTACCTGAACCTGAATACACCCCGCATTACACTCCATCCGGGCAAGGCCAGAAGAGAAAGCGGGAGGAGGAAGTTGAAAATGAGGAGGACGATGACGTCGAGGAGGAATATCACGGCTTCATTAGATCATCCGCCCCATCGCCTGAACCGACAGTTCCCCAAAGAGCCACCCGCTGTCCCGGTTTTGCCGTTGAAGACGACGGTGACGTGAGCGACGAGGCAGCAGCATGAGTGTCTACTTCGTACCCAAGACCTCGAAGTATTTCACCCAACTTCATCGACCTCACCCCGGATCATTGGCCCAGACTGTTCTTTCCTTGGGTCACTTTGGTGTCTGTAGCAAGAACAATGACTTGCCTTACTGGAGGGAAACGAGCAGGACTAGAACAACTCCGACTAGAGGTACGTATCGAAGACATTGCGTAGGTCAATGGAATCCATGCTAACTATTCTATTAATACGTAGAGGTAATTAGGCCTCAAACAAGAAATCTAAGTCATGGCGAAGGCGGACTACAACCACGATGATTGTAAGTATAGCCCTTGATTCTTGGGAGTTGACAGCTGCTAATAACTGACAGCATGGCTCTCAAGCAGGCAAAAAATCCGATTGTGGAGGTACGCAAAAGCAACTACATTGCAAACGACGCTATCTTATGAACCCGTCCGCCGCTGCCTCCGAGCACAACAACGACGAGAACGAGTTCAACCGGCGTCAACTGGGATGATTACAAGGTCATCAAGAGGGGAGGAAATATGGTCTGCATGAGACGGGACGAGTACGTGCCTAGAAGCCCGCCCTCGCTCTATCCGTCTGCTGAGGATATGGCCCGTCGTAGACAATAGCGACGCCGTTCTCGCCGTTAAGGCCGATAAAGAGGCTTCTAAAGGCAGTTCCAGTCCTCCTCGGCTTCTCAGAACAGGAAAATCGGTAGTCGGCTGACCGGCTGGTCCCTCGGTGTTTAGGGGAGACTCCTCGAGAGTCGGTGGCATCGTGATGGGGGTTTGGTTTGGTCCATGGTCTCAAACAGAACAATTAACGAAGGATATGGAGTCGAACGGAGGAGCAAACTTATCGAGGGTTGGGATCAAGATTGGACGGGCTGTTTCATAAGGTCGACACGCCAGCCGTGTGCTTGACACAGAACATTCCCCCTCCATTTCGTGTTCGCGCTCGTACCCGGGGTGAGGACGAAGAGGATACAAAAGAAAAGGATACAAAAGGAGAGGAGAAAGAAGGAGAGGAGAAAGAAGGAAAGGAGAAAGAAGGAGAGAAGCAGGTAGCTAGGAGCTGGTTCACAGCGTGTAACTTCTATTTTTTGTTCCTGTAGCCACATCGTATTTCAAGGAAGGAGCTGGTCGCAAAGCGCATACTTGTACACTACCCGGACACTCTGTGCTATATGTATCAAAGCCGTCTCGGCGGTTAGAAGGAAAACGCTTTCCGGAGTATGAAGGGGAATTCGACCTGTTCCCGCGGCTATAGGGTTTCAATCTGCCTGAATTGTTCTTGAAATAACTATAGGACAGACGTGAGATTCTACGCTATTTAAAGCCAACTTTCACGCTCTCCAACTGACAGCGCCCATTAATACCTCTACTCAACCTCCTCCTCCCTCGACGGCACCAGCTCGTATCCCGACATTACAGGATACCCGTCCCCGGGACGGCCTGCTTCGAAGCTCACTGCCAGCCTCCTTCTCCAACCCAGATGAGGGGAGTCTACATTGAGAAGTTGCGCCTGATGGCGCCTCAAAATCCCCTTGTGCGTTCCCATGAGGCGAAGCAAGCCCGCATCGACTGCTTGCAGGAGGAAATCCTTTTCCTGCGTGTGGAGATAAGCCAACGGCAAAAGCTGGTGAATGGGAAGGCCAAGGAGTTGCGCCACTTGGCGCCTGACTATACCTTCCTGTTCTACGCCTTCTCTCCCTAAGGCGGCTGCTCGTTATTGTCCGTGTCGCTGGGGTTTGGGGGGCTTGAGATAATCAGGACTTTGTAATGTGTTCATGTTGCGTTCGTGTTGGAGGAGTGTTTGTTCTGGTACGGTTTTCGTATGAAGGGCCTCATACGACAAGTTTTGCACTCAAGAAGGCGGCTAACTTGCCAAACACAACTCGGAACCCTCCAATTGAATTGTAATTCCCTTTAGGGGTCTCGAATTACGTTTATATGAGTGGGATTGGGTCGAGTTTGGTTGTGTGAGATGGGTAATTTCAAGCGCTGTACCAAAACCGTACGAGAACAAACACGGCGTAAACATGGATCCAGTTCCTTCGCTCGAACTTGACAATCTCTCACTTCTATTCAATATCGCAAAACGATTTCCAAAATTCTCACCTCTGCCACCATCTACGAGTCGCACACCACCACACACCAAACAACAACATCCCACCTCCATCAACAAAACAAACATAAAGCAACGATGCCTTCCCCATCGAACAGCCCCCGCCGCTCCCAGTCGCCCGACAACCAGCCTCCGAGCCCCCGCCTCCAGCGCGAAGACAGCACGGTCGGCGCACCCGGCGCACCCGCCGAACGTGACGAAGCCAGGCTCACCGCCATCGCGAACCGAGTACTGGGCGCATTCGACCCAAATGACTTCTTCGGATCCATGGCGACCGCATTCGAAAGGATGAGAGACGCCTCCGGTGGCGACCCTGCCACGTTCAGGGCAATTGGTCGCCACGCTATTGCCGAGATTAATCGGAGGCGCAATCCGGAGGATGGAATTCTCGATCCTGCCCCGCCCTACACGGCGCTACCTAAGGAGGGGGAGGTCACGGTTGAGTTGTCGGTTGTGGAGCCGGAGTACACCCCGCGCTACACTCGGTACCCGCAAGGTCGGAAGAGGAAGAGGGAGGAGGACGATAACGAAGAGGACGACGAGAAGGGGGAGGACGAGGAGGAGGAGCAGAACCACGAGGAGCAGGGAAACGAGGAAGAGGACAACGAGGAAGAGGACAAAGAGGAGGAGAATGACTCCGATTAGAGGTGTGTATCGAAACAATGAAGCGAGCGCCTTATAATCAGCGAACTCCAGGCTAACAGTTTTCTTGATGATCAGGTCTAAAACTCTGAGCCATACCTACCTAGAGTCAGTCATGACCCAGGCTAGCCACAACCACAAGATATTGTAAGTTCAAAGGTCATCCCGCCACTGTTGCTTTGCTGTTAACAGTCGCTAATCAGAGGAGCAGGTCGCTACTGCAAACTCCCGTCGTCTACGATCGAACATCTGCCCCATGATAGTAGGATATAATACCTCGAAATCAAAGAACAACGATGCCTCAAACGGATATAACATCAACACAGCTGAGACCCAAGCTACCAACTCGGGTCAAGTCCAGGAGGCGCAGGCCGAGGCGGAGAGTTTTGGACAGCAGCCCTGAAGACAACCATGATGACAGCGGCGACAAAGACAGACCGAAATACACGGATGCTGAGTTGCGCGAAACCAAGATTCAGGAGGAGAAGAAGAAGATGTGGATCGAGAATTGGTTGGACAACACAGACCGGTCGATGTCTTGGGGGAGAGCTAGGACTTCTTCTTTTCAGAAGACCGCGCCAGTACGGCAATCTGGGACCATCTTCCCGACCGCGCGGTATGGGACCGCCTTTCAGCCGACATTGAAGTCGCACCGGGTTTTGCCGGTTTACTTTCTCGCCGCAATCCTCCGACCATAGATGAGCTGGAAAGCCTCCCTATTCTCCATCATTCAAGCCGACGAGAAGAAGATGAATCAGGAGGAGGCTTTGGTGGTCGGCAAACTCGAGCTACCCCTCTGGATTGTCAGGACCATGTAACCTGTACAGATAGTGGGCAGGTTTAAGGAATTCTATTCACAGGCAGGAAGGCGTCAAGAGAAGGGGGTAAACCCATTGAACTTGGAAAGGAGATTATACGGATTCATGTCAAACTACCTACCTGTAGTTACCTACTAGAGGTAGTTACGGGGCCTTTAAAGCGTCACTTCTACCTTTTTTTCTTATAATATCGTATGTTTATTCGAGAAAGGAATTGGTCGCAAACCACATGCTACCCAGACACTCTGTAATAGATATGTCAATGATTTCTCCGCGCTCAAAAGGAAAACTCTTTTCGCATCTTAAAAGAGTAATCGACCTCTTCTTCTGTTATAGGGCTCTACTCTGCATACGCTAGCAAGGTGTTCATGATCGAAACCTCGAAGTACGTACCGGTAGCGAACCTGACATGGAAGTATGGAACAGACCGCAAACCTGGATCCAATGCCTTGACGCAACCTTCAAGCGACCGTGGAAAGAAACTTTAATGACAGAATATGACCGACTCAAATTTCTTATCCCCTTCCTTTCCTCCATCCAACACATCGGATCCCCACGTCAATCGAACTCGACATCAGCCATCAAACGAAACCCATCACCGACATTGCCATAGACAACAAATAACAAATGTCATCCACGCAGCAAAGACCTCCCCTCCGCCGTTCAGAGCCGATGGATTCACTCCCTCCTGCTTTGCGCCACGAGAACCCGCAGGCGATCGACATTGGCGATGACCAGTATCGGGAGTTGGTCGACATGATGAACTTTCTTGGCGAGGATCCAGCTGTTCATACTAGAGAACAAGAAATTGACGAGGCTATCACCGATCCGGTCCCACAGTACACCCCATTCCCAGGAAAGGGAGAGAAGACAGTTGAAGTTTCTCCTTCCGACAAGCATCCAGCTGACCCGTCACCGCCGCCCTATCGCCGCGAACGAAACAAATTGAGCAAGCGACGACCAAATAACGGTCAATAATCGTTCGGCACTGGTGTCTGACATGGAGTGTGTCCCATGATTCGCGCCCTGATTCGGGTTGCGATACTCCATTCGGCTGAAGAAGTCGGCGAGTCCCTTGCTTATCCAGATTCGAAACCCATTGTGAGTAAGACGGCTCCCATTGTAGAAGTGGCAGTACAATGGTTTTGTTCTCCGGGCTTTGTTCAGGTACTAACAAAGGACGACAGATAGTGCGATTGCCAAAGGCAGCAGGGCGACGGAACAACCTAGGTGTTCGGAAACAAATCGTTTCTGGGATTGCGCTGGGAGATGGTCGGGCGGCGAAAGAATGGATTGTAGAGTGGATGACGCTGAAAGATCACAAGCAGTTGTACTTCTTGTGTATACGCACGAGGAATCGAATAAAGTAAGGTACTTCCGGTTTCTACTCTTGGTCAGCCATGAGCCCATGACCAGGACATAATAGTGAAGTGGAATGCAGTCAAGTGAAATACGATTCACAACGCCGTCGCACGTTTCCCTTTTGACTCACCTACAGACGCGGGCCTAGGGATTGGTAGAAAGTAGGCATTGATAGATCTTGTATGATGCTCGGTCGCAGTCTTGATCTTTGCGTGTGTGTTCTTTTTGGGCGCCATCGTGCTGCTACAGTCGACTTCAAGGAATCTGGCTGGAGAAGGTGTGAGTCAACTTCGTCTGGTCGTGACCCTGCCTCATGACGGCCACCCACTGGGCGTCGATCTTGTACTTGAGGCGGCTGATTTCAACATGGAAACAGTCATCCACAGCAAGTGCCCGTCATAAGACGCCCGTCCACTGAGTCAACACAGAGAAGACCGGCCTCTTTGAAGAAAACGCCCAGAGTCCGGGTTTCCGTTTGACTGACGGCAAGGCAAACCACCGTGAATCATGGCTCTGGAGCCAGGTGATGAGGCAGCAACTCACCACTCGACGTCAAACTGCAGCTGCTCTGAGTTCCAGGCCATGCCGAAGAGGTGACGCTGCATTAGAAGGCGGATGAGGTAGCCCGCAAAGTTTGCGAGACTTAGATTCCATGACTTGGAGGTAGCGTTGGCGGCGAAAGCCTAGCTGAATAATTGTGATCGACAGGTATATAGTCTCTTGCCTTGGAGGCTGCGGAGTCTTAGCAGGAGACATGGCATGGAACTCTTCGTCTATGGCGGGCTCAGTGGTTGTAGGGGCTGTCTCCATGGAGGTCGCGCTTGCTGCTATTGCTTTTGCATTCTGGTGTCCCGTTCTTTGTTGAATCCAGAGACGTTTTCGGGTGTAAATCAGGACGTCTGAGATGATCAAGGAGACTGACTTCGGCATCTGCACAGTGGGCCTATCTTCCTCATTGACCAAAAACATATTTCTGTCGTTCTTGCGGCATTTCGTGGCAATCTTACCGGCTTCCGGGTCGACATTGGTCTGCCAGAAGACAAAGTTAGTTGACTGGTGGATGATGAAGATTGATGGATGAGGAAGGCGACAACAAAAGACAAAAGCGTTGACGATGGAGAATCTGGCGCCGGAGACGAGATCGGAGCGGCTGCGGCCCAGATGGAGGCCGATCAACAAGCAGTCAAGCAGGCCATTGCCAACTTATCCGGGCCAGGCGGCATCCACCTGGCAACTATCTTTGATTGCTACCTTATTTGGACTAGCGAACACGACGCCAAAAAATACGTGGTTAGTTCGAAGAACAAATCCGCTCCAGCCAAGCGGTTCTATAAGCATTGCCTCGAGTTCTTCGCAAAAAACCCGGACGCCCTGATGGTCGCCCAACATGGAGGGAATCCGATCCTCGAGGATCTCCAGAAATTGACGATTGTAGATGCCCAGATCAAATTGTATATTGGACTTGGTAGGCGCTATAAGGACGATCATCAGCAGGCCATCAATAGACGCCGTTCTCCTATGGTGGGAGAGAATATGTGGAAGCGATTTGCATACGCCCCAACGCCTCCAAGGACATTTTTTGGTTTTTGGGTCTGTTGTTCATGATCGCCTACCCATTCTTCAAAGCGCACCAGTTTTACAGATTCCTGACCGAAGCATTCCTTTGTGCCTTCTCATTTCACCCCGGACGACCCCGAGTTCCAAAGGTTTGTATGACGGCGACAATATGCCCTGCTGCGACGAAGTGCCAAGGGACATGATGTTGGCGGCACCGAATGCTACACGCTTGGCGTAGCAGCGAGGTTTTCGGACTATGATAAACTTCGGAATCTATCAGTCTGATACCAAGATTGGGTCCACAACGGATACCAAATCACGTACAAAGCTTTGTACCTCCCCTCTCCCCCTCCTACCACCCGGTCTGCGGTCCGGGCGGTTTTCAAAACCATCGAAACGATGGTAACATCGACCCTTTGGGCATACCACGCCGCAAAGTCTCCTGACCAGTTGGGGCTACCGGAGATTTGCCCGTGGCCATACACAGCCCTGACTTTTGACGGGCTGTGTACAGGTACCCACGCGGCCTTTATCGAAGGAGTTAATTTTGGTCATGCCCAGCATGACTCAACTGGGATGATTCTAGCTCGGACGTCGGAGTACATCGTTTGGGCTGAACTTCTGGATGAACCAGTCTTCCCTTGCCTGCTTGGAGGTACCTGACGAGTCAAACGCCTCATCTAAAAGCTCGGCCAGCGTTCGAGACGGTTCGGACGAAGCTTCCCAGCAATCTCGGTCCCGAGAGTCTCTCATCCCATCTTGAGTGAGCAGATTTCTTCGCCAGCCCTTCACTCAGGCTCCCAGCTGGCAAGAACGGATCAGACCCACCGCACAAACGGGCACTCCGCGGGGCAGGAGCACTAGTACCTCTTCCTTCCTAGGTATTCTTCCTCCTTCCACCATTCTCCCCGCCCATAAAAAGACACTCGCGACCACAAACTCAGAGCGCGTCCAACTCTTTCCTCAACACCTCAACACACCACACGAGGCAAGAACTCCAGTCCACCTGCACCTCCAGAGACTCCAAGAAAGCTGCCATCATCATTTCCCACGAGGAAAAGTGTGTAAGTTCCCGTCAGCTTCCTTTCTCCCTTTGTGTGGTTGATCTGTGATCCTCGTCGCCTTGACGTTGAAATTTGAGGCCTGGGTGAACGGTCGATGACAACCATCGTCGAACTGCGCGACGACCTTCGAATGACTTGCTGGCGCTTGCTCACAGTGACTAACGAAGCGCGGTAGGCTCCCCTATATAACTATCACCGACTTCTTCTCTTTCCCCAACTTCGCCGATCATACCACAGGGTAAGTTTTCTGTCCTCCACAACAATAGTATGCGCTTGTTCAAATACGACGATACTAACATCTCTATCCAGCCAACAAGATGTGTATCATTTACCACATCAACTTTTCCGAGTGCGACCACAAGGACGCACTCTTTGTTCCGTGCGCCGACCGACAGCCGAGAACGCATACGTGCCCGAACGGTGACCCGAGGGAGGTCACCCACGTCCAGGACGGCCCCTGCGACGACTGCCACCCGCCGCAGGGAGACGGTGATCCCGATGCCGTGGTCGAGCAGGAGCAGCAGGAGCAGGAGAAGTGAGGGAGGGCCCGATGGGCGTATCAATGGGCGGGATGAGGATAGCTTGATATGAAAGGAGGGCGTCTCCGAGACATCAACTAGACCGGTAGAACAGAAAGCCATCACCTGTTTCGGTCTGATCGCTTCCGCAACTTCTCCAATCGTCGTTTGTTTGCTTGCGAACGGTCGTAGATTTCGGTCCGTTGTTTGACCGTTAGGTGCGTTATACACCCTTTCGCCATCTCCGTCAAGCAGTTATGAGAGCAAAGGCCGGACCAAGGCAGTTGGTGGACTGGCCAACGGGAGTGGTGCTTGAGATTGTCGTAGGGCCGTTGGGGATCTTGGATGGGATGCATGGCCCACAAGATCTCTTTTGCCCCCAAGCTTCGTAACAAGATCCTGAACACACCGTGACACCGATGCCATCCTTGTGAAACACCGATACAACCAACGTATCGACCAGAAAACGCTCGCCTCAAAAGCCGTCCATTTGGTATACAGTTGGTGGACTTCCCACATGTGGGCTAGTCTCTCCTCCTCTGTGAGGAAGGTCGACCCCCCTCTGTTGACCCTCCCTCCTTCCGGATTGCTGGCGCAAGAGCCGAAAAAACAGCCCAGCTCCTTCCGTCCACCCGGTAGAGTCTTGGTCATCGTTCTCATATGGGTCCGATAGTGCTCTCCCATTTGTTTATTGGTCTGGAAGGTGGCGCCACACGGCACAAATTGGAATTTTACAAGTTCCGCAACGGTATGTGCCTTTCTCCCGGTTCATCCTACGGTTCGCTTTCTTCATCTCCTTCAGGCGGATTCGCCTCGCTTGGGCCGCCGCTTCCATTGCCCGCTCTTGGTCGTCCGTCATCGGCCCTCCGCTCTTCGTTGAGCTCTGCAACGTCCCCAGCGATGGCTTGTACCTTTGGCGCTTTCTACACGATCCCCTCCCTCCCCTCCCCGGAACCCCAAATCGCGGCCTGATCTTCATTGTGGTTACCGAACATTCCATCCCAGAATGGATGATCAACACGTTCCTACATAAAATCCACAAACTCTTTCTCGAACAGTACCCCCCTGATACCCCTTACGCCAACATGCCAACTCAAATTACACCCTTCGTCGAATGCAGCGTGAGAACACAGGCCGTCATAAGGCAAAGTGACTTGGGGCCACGGGCAAGTTCCCAAGAGCCCCAACTCGCCCGGTCCCATTGGTCCCAATACCAAGTCCGGTTTGAGGGTACTGCCCGTCTTGTCCCTGTGGCTCCGTGAGTACCGCCTGATCGCCCTTGTGCCCACCTTGTTTCCCCGTGGGGGAACTTGTTGAAAGCGCCTGACCAAGGGGTTGGGAACTTGTTGAAAGCGCCTGATCAGGGGGTTGGGATAGAGATTCGGTGTCTAGGCGTTGCCGCTTACCCCTCTGCATGCCCGGGGAGGTAGAAGAGGCCGGTCGTTTGGCTGGGGTAGCATATTTGGATGGGGTAGCAAATTCCCAAAAGCGCGCCTCGAGACTGGTGTTTCCACCGCGGGCTTCGTCGACGGCCGCTTCGTCCTTAATGACGACATCTTGCCAGCCGATTTCCTCCGCGAATTTGATTTGGGCCGTAAGTTTCTTACGAGCCTCTTCTTTTGAAGATCCGATGGGTGCGCTGGCTAGCGCAACCAAGAAATCCTGTCTTTCGAGGGCATCCCATTCGAATTTGATGGTAGCCTCTAAGTCTTCGACAGAAGCCGCGCGCTCGGAATTTCGCAGTAGCTGCTCATCTGTGAGGATATCGTCGTTGGCGACACCCCGGAATTGTGAATCAACGTACATCGGCCCATAAAATGGGTCTAGAGAGCGAAGGTGAAAATGGCGACGATAAGTATCAGACTTGCGATGCTTTAAGGTGGGATATGACGGGGTGGGTATGACGGACATCATGACGAGATTATACAATCTCGGATTAAGCCGCGTGTCCACTGCGACACACCTTATTAACAACCATCGCTATCCAAAACGGATATACCATTTCGCACCGCAAGATTTTGGTTTCAACTCCTTGTCTTGAAGATTCGGATGCCGATTTGATCATGCCAGCCCGCGCCCTATTCCTCATTCTCGAAACCGCTCTGTCTCACGGGCTTCGGACTTATAGCGACTGACAGCAATATCTTCCCTGCTTCCGACAGTTTCGAAGGTTGGGAGGAGATGGAAACCCGAGACAAACGCAGCTCTCAAGAAGGAGGCTGGCAAGAACACCGAGAGTTCGCGTGCGGAGAGATACTAGATGTGCAGAAACGTTCAAAGATAGAGGTATTTTCCGTCCCATGTCTCAGCTAGTTCCTCGCTCCATCTCTTTGCTTTTGGACGAATATATCCGTCGGAATACGTAACGTCAAACGCAGAAATCGTCCTGTCAATTGAGACAATATTGGTCGACTGTAGTGATATCGTCCGGTCTATGGTTTCTGGATGATGTCTTCGAAAGAAGTACCATCCAGCATACGCTCACATCCACGGCACAAGACTAACTATCTCACCGGCGAGGAGACCGACGAAAGGTCTGTAGCACCTCATGCCTCCTCCAGGTAAATCCAGCAAAGATAACATAGGCTTTATCGGGCTTCGAGGCCGACAATACTGTATGCCATGTCAGGTATCAGAAGCGGCGGCCTCAGATACTTGCGCAAAGCAAGGCGAAGATGGACAAGGTGAGGGAGGATCCCGTCCAACATGCTCAAGTGAAAGCGAAGAAACGTGGGAATCACAAGGCGAGGATGGACAAGCTGAAGGAGGATCCCGTGGCACACGCCGAATACAAGGCGATATACGCTTTCCCTTCCAGAGATGCCTTTGCCTCCAACATGCTGGCCCGTTTCTTTGCATAGGCACGTTGATTGTATCGAATTGCTTGGCCGCTGTCACCACGTAGGTGGTCTGTTTTCCGCGTTCTTCTGCCAAAGTTTTTGCGGACTGCACTGACGGAAGTTCTGAACGAGACGCGGGGGCATCGGCGGCGGGGGCGGCATCGCCGTAAGCCATTTTCTGAATCTATGTTAGACTCTGAATATATTGGGCAATACATTTAATACAACGAATGTACTTACGTGCACCTTGTTTTTTAGCTGCTTCTCGGTCGGAGCTTTGTCTCGCTCCTCCTCGAGCTTCTTGAGCTCTTCTTTTATTTTTCTGATCCTTTTCTTGAACTTTTTTTGCCTCCTTTTGTGCTTCTCCTTGTCCAGGATCTTTTGGGAGCTGACGTTCTATACAAATGTACCGATTGGTAACCGACTTATGCACATTATACTAATAATAAGGTTTACTTACGTTGAGGTAGTTCACCTTTTCATCGAGTACCACTGTCTTGACTGGGGTGCCCTGGACACGCCCTCCTCCTCGATGCTGTGGGCATTGGGAGGCTAGTGATCCTCCGATGATTGAAAGACCGGGGGAGGTCGGGCTGGGGATGAATATGTTCCTGCTTTGGTCTACAAACCCAATCACCACCTCCACCTTATGAGCCAGAGGAGGCGTTGCCTGACCCCGAGGCGTTCCGCTTGTTGCCTAAGTGACCAAGGAGGGAGAGGACTTGAAACAAGCAACTGGGAGCAGCTCTGTGTGAGTGTTTGCATGCGCGAGCGAGACACCAAAACTTGGTCCAACCTCGATCCAGTTACTGGTGAAGATCTCGACCGCAAACATAGAGTACGCGCTGCGGGATGAATGTTTCCCGAAGACATTTTCACCGCCAAAGAGAATATGGGTGGAAGCTGCTTCCCCATTGCTGAACTCCTTCTGTTGGATATGGGCGATGATTTGTCGTGTTAACGGTTGTTTCCTCCTTTTGAACCAAAGTTTCGAGCAGCGCTGGAAATAACTCAAATACAGATTCAAATATATATAAATACAAATAAATAAATAAATAAATACACATGTCCGGATATTTGACCCAAATAAATACGATGTCCATATTTGATTTAGTTATTTGGCCGCCTTTCTTAGTACTCGGCAGAATCCTTAGGTTAGGGTTCAAGGTATAAAAATACATAATTTTTACCCTTGAAAGATCGACCCACCTCGACCCTTAGGCATATAAATTGGCCACCTATTGCTATATACATCCCAATTGCCAATCGATTGCTAATGTAACACTTAGACTACCTAAAGAGGTAAAATTTCTAGTATTTCAAAATTGTACGCTAAATCGAATATTTCTAATATTTCTAATATTTCTAGCATTTCTAATATTTTTACATCTCGAGGTTATATCGCCAACATTCTCCTCAAATTAATTCTAACACTACTAAATCGATTATAATCCCTCTCGATTACTATTAGTACTCTTCCTCCCTATTTTACTAATCAATACTAACTTCTACTAACGTTATTAATACCGTACCGTTACAATACCCGTTATTTAAAACCCTACCGCCGCCGTCCTTAACCGTAATAAAGCTTCTTCTACCGCGGGCAACCCGCTTACCGTTTTCTTTAAAGATTTGCCCGCGCACGTTATTATTATTACTGTATTGAATAATAATTACTATATCCCTATAGGGCGCTAATTCGTACTACTTTTCGATATTTACCTTAATAATTTGCCCGTTAATCTTATTTAGTAACCGAGGGCTAAATTTAAAGGGGACGAATATATCTTAAAAAAATAACTAAATTACCGTTCTAAAAGAAGTTTTCAAATTCATTAATATAATACTTTCTTTATTAAAATATTGGAGAGTATAGAGCTTGATAGCTATTAATATTATAATCTTTACTATAATATTTATATCCTCTTCGTAGTTAATTCTATAATTATATACTTTCGACGTATTTATCGTCTTATGGAGCCTATTAATGAAAAGGCTATAAATAAGTAAATTTAAAAGCGATTTAAATTGGTTATTTAATTTCTCTAAAACTAACCTCGTATCCCTATCCTTAAACTAATTAGCGAAACCTTCTACGAAATACCAATAGAAATGACTATTACCGCGAAGCTTCCTTTCTCATTTATTAAAAACGTTGCCTTTAAACCACTTTTAGAATTAATGAATAGTAATATAACCGACAAATTATTACCTAAATCCCGCTATACTTTAATTATATAGATTAATAATAAATATATTTATCATTTTAATAAATCAAAAGAATATATAATTAATTCCCGCTTTTAAAAATATATTTCTTTCGATTTCTAGACGTCGCTAAATAGACTCGTAATCCTCTAGATCTTTATTTATTATATCGATTATTATTATAGATTTAGAAGTAATTTATTAAATTTTTAGGAAATGCGCGGTAATTATTGTAGTAAAAATATTACGTCTATAATTATTTAAATACTTAAAAAGTACGAAATATTCCCTAATAATATTAATTATTCTTAAAGCGATAATATTAACGCTAATAACTATTGTATATGTTATATTTTTAAAAGCTTTTACCCCTCCCTCAACGCTGACGAAGTAAAAAACGAAATCTTTTATTATTAATTATATGACTTCGGTTATATTTTAAATTTCGGTATAAGGCTGCTATTAAAAGAGGAGGAGCCTGCGTCCCCGAATTTAATAACCTTCTACCCCGAGTTTCTCCTACTAATAATGATACTATATTTCGAGAATAGCGTAAGGAGGGACCAGTTAGTAAATTGTATAATATTATTGTCATAGGGCTAGATCATATGCCCTGTGCCAGTTGTGCTATGGCTGTTATTGGCCAATGCACTACAGTGCAGTATGACAGAGCTATAGCACTGGGCAGCCTTGGCAGCGGTTACGGGGTAGATCTACCCAACTAGGTAGATCTCACCCGTACCCTATATTTGCCCTAGCTACGTACACCTTTCTTACTTCCTTCGTACAATAATAATTTATTATACTTATATATTAGCGCTACGTACCCTTACTTACTATAGATATCGCGACGAACGTTTTTCTTAGCGATTTATTAGTAATCAAGTTTTCGGGTCGTTTTCGACATTTTCGCCTTTTATAGAACGGAGAATTAATTTAACGATAATATTTATCCGTTTAGTACCCTTAATTATAAACGGATTCTACGATTATTATAATTATAATTTAGCGTTAAGCGACGTCCTTAATTAAAGGTATATTTATTTTATTTATTTTGAGGACAATAACGATATTAAATTAGTAATTATTAATTATTACGATAATAATACTAATATTAAATCCGTAATTATTAATTATCCCTCCAATCTCTTAGGCGAGATTATTTTTATCGATTAAGTTTTAACTTTTAATATAATTAATAATTACCCTATTCCTTAGGAACTAGATTCCTATAAAATTAACGTTCCTCGTCCCCCTAATTATTATTATTAGGGTTATAAATTCTATAGTCCTAATTTTATCCCTTAGGATTTAAATAATCCCCCCCCAGTTAATAATAACGAAATAATTACCAATAACGAGTTGGCCTTAATAATTTTACGTACATACGGTAACAATACTATACGTCGCTACACTTAATTCTTTGTATATAATATATTATTAATTAACGATTTTATTCCTTTATATCTAATTATTTTTCGTTAGTATATTAATTATATTATTTAATTGCCGGCTTTTATAATTATAGTTAATACTATTGCCGAAGCTTTTTATACCTTTAAAGAATATTATTATTAGGAGATTTTATATGGGGAGGCGGAGGATTATATTAATAAATAGTTTTAGAGGAATTTCTAGAACGAGGTTATTTGGTAGAGGTTTGAAATTAAGAAATAGTTTAATAAATATAAAAATATAGAATAATTGTATATAAATTACAATAAAGAAATACTTAATATAGTTAATAATAATAGCGTT